AAAACGCACTGTTGATACTGTCTCTATACTTAACTACAAATGCAAAATTGAATTGTATCACTGTACACGCACACTACAGCATATGTGTTTGATCCATCAAATTATACACGTGTCAAAACAATGGTGCCGCTGTCTACATGCATAAGCAACGTAAGGCGAGGACTATGTAGATATTATTTATCGATAATCAAATCGTCATAGTCCGCATGAGTTCAGCGTTGGTAAAAGTGATTTTTAGTATTTTTCATTCATTACCTACAGCCCTTCACAAGGCCACTGTAATATGTCCACTTTATGTAAGTGCCTCCCCCAAGGAGTGACAAATCACGGTCCAGCCGCACCATCGACTGCTTGCATGTCTTACCAGGTCGTCACTCCATCTATTCGGTGGTAGCCCCCCATCGCTTGTCGATTCTTTGAACTATATGACCGGCCGTTGTCATTTCAGCTTACTAATCCGTTGGGCTATTTCGGGCTCTCTGCTTCTACTGTGAATATCCTTATTTCTATGTTTATCATGCAGAAAACCCTGAGCATAGCCATCTCCCTAGGCTCGCTGAGTGACTTTGAGCTTCCTCATATGGCAAGCAGTGAAGGGTTTTAGTGTTATATAATATTATGATTTTGTTAGTAAATATAATTATGGCCAGTTTTTGAAAACCTGATCAAACTCAGATTTTAATTCAAATTTACTCAAAAAGTTGACTATAGGTATTTTCCATGCTGTGTTTATACCGAGCAATAAAAACAAAAAATTGGTCAGTAGCTTCACCGAAATTATCGGATATAATATCAAACCCGTAGTAGAAATAGCCATAATACCTTTGGCTGCTAGCATGGTATTTCATCAACTGCTTAGTTTTCATTTCATCCATGACCAAGGTACTATAAAAACATATTTTTAGTTTAATTTTTCTTTGTGTACAGTCTGTTTGCTTAGATACGGTCGTTTTTGTGTAGCGCCTTCTCAGCACGTGCCGCGTTTTGTCAAAGGTGCGACATTAAAGTTCGTACTGTAAAGCAGCCGAAACGTCGGGAATCAAAATTCAAAATATAACGAGATAAAATCCGTAAAATTAGTTTTATTTAGTGTGTAATGTATGTATTGTTCGCGTAAATATAAGAACTCATAATTGTAAACTTGTCGAAATTCTAAAATATTTTCTAGAAGAATAATATTGGTGCCTAGGGTAATAATAAACTATTTCATCTATTAATATAATTACAGCTAGATATTACCTCCCACAAGTTCAAGGTTGGTACAGCAGTATCGCCTAACCTTCTTTTATTGATAACTTGGGGTATGAAATATGATTTATCAAAATCTCCTATGCAGATGATACTGCAGTAATATTTACTGATGATGATGACTCCTGGGATTCGTTCGTAGATCTGCTGAAGAAGGCCTTGCTAGGATCGCTAAGTGGCTGAACACTAACTTACTTATTTTAAATACTTCGAATGGCTATTTCATAAGATCTATGATGATATTGAGGTTCTTTTTGAGGCAATATGAAATAATGTAATTTATTTATAACACAAACACATATGCGCATGCGCACACTCATCACTTACTCACTCATTTACACACACCTATTCACTCACACACACCCACTCGCGCCCGCACACACACATACATACACACGTGCGCGATTATTATGTAAAGATCATGCAAATAGTAATGTAAAAGCTATGGAGGAGTGGAGTCTCCTAACACAAGTTTTTATACTTGAAAGGAGACTTCATTCCCGGTTGTAATTTATGTATGATCATTTACTGAATAAACTACTTTTATTTATTATTATTATTAAACCAATAATAGAAAATTTTACCACTTTTTGTAATACTTTATTATAAAATCTAAACAAAAAATAAAAACCTGTTCGGCAGACAAATCCGAATGGGTTAATTAACTTATCGATAGCTAAAGTTGTGGCGTACATCATTACAATGCCATACTTTCGGTTGCAGTGATACCAGTCTAATTTTACAAAATTGCATACATTTGCTACGAAGTGGCAAGTTTCGATTCGATTTATGCGGCCTTTATTTTGTATAATATTTTGGTAAGGACTAGTTATTGATTATATTAAATTATAATATATTCAGAATTGTGTTGAGATTGAGTAATATAATATAATATAATAAATAAATATTTAAATCACTTGACAAAATCCACTACACATCTTAATGTAATGAATATTTTTTATCACAAACTGATTTAGTTGATATGAAATAATTTTTCACTTCATGAACTATCTTGGCAACAGATATTGGTATTTAAAGAAAATATTCAGAAAATACGAGTTTAAACGACAATATTATGTTAAAAGTATACACAGACGAAAAGCCACGTTGTCCTTTTGTAGATTTGATGGTTTTCATTGTTTTTTTGCATGAAAATACACTGCAATTCGGCATTTTTGTCTGAGCTCGATCGACTGGCAGGATCACTTGCGTAATGGTGCATGACGCGGAGCAAATAGTTTTATATAACGGCTATGAGTCGGATTCTCGTACCTTTTACAGAGGGGAGATGCCTTGCGATGGCGTCTCCTCTGACTTAATACTCAAAATTGTTGTATATCAGAGACAAATATAGTGATAGTGGCGAAACCTGTGGCTCAAGACCAGCTCAGCCACAGACAGTCCCAGCAGTGGATTTGTGAAGTGAAGATGGAGTATAAATTTGATCCTTTATTTTGAAAATATATGGTTCTTTTATTATTATAATCACAGTATTAAATTCTGTACCTGTTAATTCAAGGCTCTATTGCTAGATGAATTTGAAATAATAAGTTTTATCAGATTAATTTGTATTTTATTAATAAAGTGAAGTCTCATAATACTTAAATGTTATTTACAATTCATTGGGGTTTAAAAAATAAAAATTAATATCAGTTTTTGTAATGATTGTATTTTACATATTTCCGGCTAACGTCAAATGACAACTAATAGCTATAATAAACCCAATACAAAAATATTTTCATCTCCTTATGCATTATATTGACAGATTTATACTTTTTACATTAAATATATATATATATATATATATATATATATATATATATATATATATATATAGACTTTATATTTATCCTTTATATTTCTAAATTTAATGTGCTTTGTATCCATATTATAAAAGTTTGTAATGTTTTATATTCACAGAGGAATCCTTGCCTATCATATAGTACATAATATTTATAGTTATAAATAAAAAATGTGGATAAAATTTGGATTAAAATGTACATCACATTACAACTGGATCGCACATATTTACAATTTATATAATTAGGCTTTCATTTTAACAAAGAAATTGACGAAGAAATTATTTTATTTAAACATTAAAAAAACAACAGAAAGTCTATCTCATACATTTATGGCAAATTGACAATGAATTCGTATAAAAAATCTAAATAAATTTCACCATTTAATAGACAATTATAAAACACAACATAGCTATATTTTACATAGTCTTAAAACAAAATAAATAAATAATTCTCTAAATAGTATGTCGCTTATTGTCAAATCAATAAAAAATCCTATAGAAAGCAGCGGTAGCCACCAAACAACAATTCCTTAATTAATTATTTATGTACTAAGTCATTTATTTCTAATTCAACGTTATTATACAAATCGCAGGAATGTAGGCGCAGCTTAGTTTAAAAGATCAGTAAAATATTGTAAACCGATGCACTGGACCGCACTGTATAACCGAATAAGTCTTTTGGCCTTAATAGAAGTAGAAGGTACACTTAAGTTAGATATAGGATTCTCATAGTTACATGTGATCACTAACAATTAGGTTTATCACGAAATGATATGGTTCCTAAGCCCGTTGAAACAATAAATTGGTCGGCTCCAAAAAAAAAAAAAACAAGTATGACAGATAAGTACAGCCGAACGTGAGATAACAAAACGTGTCATGATGTAGCAATAGTTTACAATTTAAATATATAATTGGTACAAATTTAACAAAATAACAAAGATTTATGAACACGTTTTATATAAAAGACAGAAGAAGTAAAAGGAGAAAGATAGAATCTTAAGGTGCTCAGTCTCATAGTACTGAAACATTAAAAAATACTGCTACTAATGTTTTATATAACTTTTTTTGTAATAGAATGGTGTAAGTTGTTTTAGCTGAAAGTTTTAAAGTATCATAATATATATCTTATATTTCACTAAGCTATTTTAATGTGTGATTTAGTTAATAATGTGGTATACGATACTATGTCTGGCACCGAAGATACTTACTATAAAAAGGAAAGTAAGGTGTCAGTTAAGACGGCCAACTGTACTAAAAGTTGAAAGGGTTGAAATTTTAACGGAAATTAATCAAAATATTGAAAGACATATCTTTATTATTTTCTTTTAGTTATTGTGAGTTTTGTTTTTGAAGATCGTAAAAGTTTATAATTAGAAAAGAAAATATAATTAGAAATAAAATTCGTAATTCTTCAAGTTATTTCAATGTGTATTATAAAAATGTTATAATAAAACTACTATTGTGTACACGTCTTCTACATATTTCGGACGGTTAGCCGCCTTAGTATTAGGATTACTCAATATTCACATAGCTGTTTGTAAATGATATTAGAGGTGTACAAATGTTACCATAACTTACCAATTTCGTAAGTTTCGGGCGTATCTGGCAGCCCCGGCGACGAGAACAATATAAATAAAAAGATTCATCGAAGTCGATGTTGAAGCGGCCTCCAACACCAACTTAAATGAATCTTATTGTGGTCTTAATATGGTGTCACATAGTGATAATTTTTTGAAATTAATACGAAAGTATCGTTTAAAGTTTGGAAAGTGTGATGTTGATTAGACATGTGTCAATCGTGAGTGATTCGTTCATTTGACCCGTGTCGCATTAAAGTATTGATGTAAAGTAAAGAGCATAGAGTACAGTAATGTCTGACGATCGATATTATCGAGTGGGTCTCACAGACACATATCAGTACAAATGAATGAATGACACACGTTTAGGGTTGCTAGCAGTCGGGCGCGCGGTGCACGAGGCGCGCGGTGTCGGCGCCGGTGTCGGCGGCCGGGTCGAGCGCCCGCGGCGCAGCGGCGGGTGCGCGTGCGTCGCGCGTGGCGCTGCTGGACGGCGACAGCACCGCCGACCCCACCCGTTCCTTCACCTCCTCCGGCACCTCGTAGATGCCCGCTGCGGAATCACGGAATGCACTCGTCTATACATACAATCATCACACACTGCTGTACAGAATGGCCAAAAAGTTGTAGATCAAACCAAATAGGGAGATACAGGAGGTCATTTCCAACAAAAAAATCTATTTACAGTATGGCCATAATTGGATTGTCCTAAAAATTATGAATATTTTTGTTTTCTTTGAAGAAATACCGAATTCTTTCAAGTCAAGTCCGATGGGATGGTAAACTGACACCACCAGAGAGAGATCAAGCGCAGGGACAACAGCTTTTCGAGGTACGGGGGTTAGATACCGCCAATTTCCCGACTCCGGGGAGCTATTGAGAATTTTAATACAATAATATATTACAAAAAAAAAAAGGTTTAATCCTATGAGTACTCACGTAACGTTGGCTCCGGTTCTCCGTGCGCGACGGCCCGTGTGACCGCGTCGTACATGGGGTTGCTGAAGTCGCGTCCCTTCCGCGGCTCGTGCAGCGCATACGCGTCCGCGCCCGCTCCCACTACCGCTCCACTCCCCGCGCCCGCACCCGCGCCCACTCCGCCGAACTCCACGTTCGAGCCGGCGCGGAACGATACGCTCTGAGACGACGCCAGGCTACCCAATCCAACACCCTTACCACTGCAATACGCAAAGTAGTTATTATAGTATGTGTTTTAACAAACGAGTACTGAAAATTTTGACTGCGTTTTTATTGGTCCATGTGATTAACATAGAATCCGTTTCACACAAAGCTTGCGTCTAATGCCTAGGTAACTAGGTATTAGTTGATACACTTATTTATTTTATGACATTATATTAATACACAAATAGTTGCGGGTGGGAATGGGTATAGAATTTTTATCGATATATTTTATTACACTGTCTTATCTCTATCATTAATTCCGTGGATGTTCACTTTTGCCATCAGCGCCAGTATGGCGAAAATCACATCGCCTCATATGTCACGATGTATAGCCAGTCCAATATATAGAATTATTAGTATAAAAAAGAGTAAAGAGTATATATAGAAGTCTGTGGTAGCAACATATTAAAATATGTATGTCTGAACCTAAGGCTAAGGCGTCATGATTTGTGGAAAATACACATAAAATTTAATAATGCATGTATATTTTTTATTAAATACTGCATTTAATACAAAAAAAGTACTTTTACGAACTACTTTTACGGATTTTATCGCGTTTTATTTATATTAATTTTAATACCCGACGTTTCGGGTGCTTTCCAGCACCCATGGTCACGGGGGACCATTGTTATTATTTTTGTATATTTTGTAGACTATTGGTATTTTTATTTTTGTTCAAAATCACAATCACTTAAAACGTATTTTTCTTACGAGGCTCTTATTTGGGGCCCTTAGGCAGTTATGTAGTTTGCCTTTAGGATTAACTTTTTGCATGTCGATGTGATAAAAATTTACGCTTAAAGTTATTAGCAAGTTCAATTTTGTTATTTTGGTCGTATAGAAAACAATTTGTGTGAAAGGTGTGCAGTGTAAGGTTAGAGGTGAGATGTGAGGTGAGATTCATTAAATAATCGTCATAGCAATATTTTCTTGTCTCGTACAGTATAATTTTTTATAATTTTATATTTAATTATTTTATTTTATTTTTAAATATTTCTTTAGTCTTCACATCATAATTTTTTGTCCTTTATTGTCCACCTGTGGGCATAGATTATTGCAATCACCTGGCAGAGTCACCGTGTAATGTGTCAGTGAGAGATGTTGTGTGTGTGGTGAGGTGACCGGTGTGTTTTGTGTAAGGTGAGGTATGTGGTGAGTACTCACAAGGGGCGCTTCCGCAGCACAAAGAAGGCCGCGGCGGCGGCAGCTATCGCAAGCGCGACCGCCAGCAGCGTGGGCAGCAGCACGTGCGCCGCAGCGCTGCGGCTAGCTGCCTGCTGCGCGGCGCACACAGGCGGCTGCAGCGGCGCGCGGCACACGCAGCGCACCCCACCCGCACCGTCCTCCTCGCACGTGCCGCCGTTCTCGCACGGGCAGATGCGCGGCAGTGGACGCTCAGCCTCCACCGCTGCAACAGCACACAAACACCATGTCAAACAAGCCTAGCCGTAAAATTGCCCTGTACCTGTGGCACGCTCCTGTCGTATATACGGATAAAGAGACGGTGACGTCAACGTAGAACGTATACGTTCAGCTAATGGGAAATACCCCTCCACCAATCTTATAGATTGAATTTTCAAAAAAATCATTATCAATTTCTGTCAAATATTTTACAATTGCAGACAAACCATACAAAATATTCACTTCATGGAGATATGTTAGTACGCCAGAGCGCACAAAAAATTCGCAATACGTTTTTAAAGTGTCCATGAATTTTTACGCCTCGGGAATATTAGCTTTTACTTATATCGTTTACTAGAGGTCCTCAACGAAATCTGCTTGACTATTAAATATGTTTTAAAGTGAAGCAAATTTAATGAAAATATTCGAATATCATCATGAGTACGTTAGCATAGAAAATTGATGTACTTATTTTTAGAATTTATAATTATGGAGTATAGAAGCAAGGAGTACCAATTCTCATAGTAGAATAGTTGAAAAAGTGGCCATCTATAAGCAGTAAATAACAGCTCAAAAACTCTCCACAACAGCGCTGGAGTAGCTATTGGGATGAAATGAATTTAGCAGTTGTCGACGGTTTAAATGTTCTGCTAAACTGCTCAGTAGCTCTAAAATCTAAAATAACTTTATTTAGTAAATATAACCTCGAAAAAGTCGTCTATCCCACTAATATTTTTCGGTGCGTTCTTTAAAGTATACCCCGTAGTTATAGTGGCGCCACCCTTATTTGACGGTTTTCTATGGACTATTTTTAATACACAGTCTGTACTCCTTACTTCTACACTCCATGATTTATAATGAAAGGACATTCAGTAATGAAACTAAATCAATCAAAAGTTAGAGCCGTATATGTACACAAAAACATATGTGTGCAACATTGTTGTTCAGGCAGATAGATATTAGAGATAGAGTGAACATATACACATGATTTTTCATACAAAACTCTTTAACCAATTGAAAGTTTTGATTACTTTCATGACTGTATGAGCTGAAATTCCTTTGCCTTGTCCTCACGGAAAAACAGTGCAATAAAAGAGTTTTGGCGGGAATTTGACTGAACTGAACACATTCTTGCTCCTGTTTTTTGGTTTTTATTATGGTAAGAAGTGGACGTTGATAAGTAAAAGTGATGCGATTTTGTGAATTAAGTGTCTACGCATGTGAAAGTGGAAACGACGAAACAAGTGCTTCGATGTTTATATAAACTTCAAGTTACTGTTTTCATCGACTGTCCTCTTGGTTAAACTGTCATCAAAAACTCGCAAAAATGCATCAGCATATTTTTGTGACGAAGTTTTTAAACATAATATCGACGATCCCAAGGAATAAACTGGTAACGTTCTATTATGGAGTTTTTACTGTTATGTCAGATTCGTGATTTATAGGTTGGAATACACATTTTTAAGTTTTTTCAGATTTTTTCTAGCTGTATTTAAGGGGATATAATTAATAACACTTTACGGAAATTCACATTCTTGCTAATGACCAGAAAAGTATCGCTAGCTATATAAAATATATAAGACGTTACAATACAAAAACAATTCTTTGCGTTTGATTTGGTAAATTACTGTTACCTACCACAGTATTGGCGTAAACGCATAGCGCTTAGTAAACGTGATTGCTTTAATTTTGTAGCGTTATTTTATGTAAACTCAGTCAATAATGGAATCTTACTATATTTTATAAGAGTAATTATTTTTATTCATATGTAATAACATAATATATTTATATAATATTCGTACAATTTTCGACTATGTATACGACGTATATTTTGCTGTACAACAGTTCGAAAGGATATAGAGAAAGACTTAATAACAACCAAAAATAGTGTTCAGAAGATTTTAATATTTTAAAAATGTATTTAGAAATTGTAGGTATATTAATTGGTACAATAAGCTTACAATGGTTTTCCCAAAGATGATTTATAAGTATAATATCTGTGGGTTTTCCAATGGCCACAAAACACCAATATGATACAGTTTTTCATATAAAACAATTATTCATTTTCGTAATCAATAAGGACCTATGTAGAAGTAGAACATGAAGAACAACAATTGTTATTGCTTTGAACAGGATAACCACAAAATAAAAGCATCTATAAAAATTCATCAGTATCATTTAGAAAGAAAGCAAAAGAATTGACTGAACTGCCTTTCAGTCAGAATTGACAATTGACAGAGATACTAATCAAAAATTACAATTTTTGATTTCCGAGGAACTTTGAACATACCACAGTTTAATGTATCCAGTATATAATTTTTTATTATAATGCTGTAAACATATAGTAAACTTAATTATAAAAAATGTATTTGCATGCTATCCATAGATGGCTGAAAAAGCTGAACTAAACTTTACAATAACCACCTAAATGTACCCTTTTTCAAAGCAAATAAATCTTCATTTCATTTCATTTCATGTTGGACACTAAAAATAGCAAAAAATGCCAGCAATGATAAGTGTGTTGCTAGATAAACTATTTTAAGACTGAAAATAAAACAGGTATCAACAAATTTTCATTTTATACTAATGGCAGGCCTCTGTCACTCTTGCTACTTGACCAAAAAAGTTTTCTATCATTCTTTAAGTTACCGAAAGATTTTAATAGCAAGTTATGAAAAGTGAATTTATTTCATTTTTTTTGTTAGATAGGTACTCATAGCAAAAAAGAATTCAGTAATAATTAATCTACAATAGTAATACCTAAGTACTTTATTACAAAACTTAGTTGAAATTTACTTCACTATCCAAGTATCTACTTACATACCTATACTTGTCTTTTGTAATTAAAATATTTTAAGTTATAATAATACAAAATACTTAAATTAAAACTTTGTTTACTAACGAGATTTTTATCTTAGTAGAATATGATAATAATTTTGTAAGGAATCGTATTTCAGGTTTATTTGTTGTTTACATTATATACCTATTTCTTCCAATGCAAGCACCGCGATTCCCGACGAATGGCTGTGCAAGTTGCATGCGTTGGGCATTGCAGAACTCACATAGGTGCGAAAATATGGTCAGTTGATAATAGTCAAAATAGGTATTTCACCAAATTAACTTAATTAATATTTCGCAATGTATTTTTTTACTCTTTTTTGTCACAGAAAGTCTGCCGTGACGTAGGAACGGGAAAAGGTGCAAAGTAATGGGGACATTCATGCACAATGATAAAGTTTTATTTTGCTTGCTTGTGCGATTTATCTTATTAATAGTTATTAAGTAGGTTATTCAACGTCGGTAAGCAGTCAAGATCAAAGGAGTGCAACTTATGTAGGTAGTACTATTATTTATTCTGTGCTGATGGCAACTATGGCCAGATAATTTTTTATTTATAAATTATCATCCATCGTCCATTATGCACAAGTTTTCAGAACTGGGCACAACCAAAATGAGATTGATTCCAAGAAACATGAATAAGAAAGTTGTCAATACTCCTACATAAATCTACAACATTATTTCTGATTCTATACCAGTAAAAACATCAATTAATGAATGCAATCTGATGATATTATATTGTGGATGCGGTAAGAGGCGAAAGAGAGAAATAAAACAGGAGAGGGGCAGCAGAATCTTCCTGATAACAAATCAAAATATTTAAAAAAAACTGCGGTTGTTATGCACTACAACTCTGGCAAATATCCCTATACTTGGACTTTTGATAGGCTATGATGAATGATAAATGATGTAATAATAACAAATTATGAATTATGACATAAAAAGACTGATGTATCTTGATAATTGCCTACATGAATAATATAAAGTTAGTAAAACAAAATCGATGGGTTGATCTTGTGAGGCATCCATTTCAGTCCTCAGGTGTGATGACCCATTTTGATTCTTAATTAAGGATATATTATGTTAATATCTATGGGCTACAGCATCCACTTACCATAAGTGGACTGTGTGCTTATTTGTCACCCTTATTTTATAAGCAAAGATTTTAATTTTATTACTTTAATTCATTTATTAATAATGATTAAAATTGATTTCAAAAACTAAAATACCTATGTATTTAAAAAAAAATCAAAAAAGAAATTTTATTATATAAATTAATAAAATATTTTTACTCATAACTTTTTAACATTATTTTCATAAACCCTTACATTACACTTTAGTATCTCTCAAAAAGTTAGCTACATAGTAGTAGACACTTTCTTAGGTAATATAATTTTGATTGTTACTTCTAAAACAGAGTTTTATTATCTTTGCCTTAGTGTAATCTATTTTAATGTTCAGCAATAACTTTAATTTTGTCTCTTAAATAAAAAAATGATCTAATAAGTCCGTACTAAAATGTTACTATAACATCATTTTTGGGAAATTTATGACATCCCGCAAGTTAATAGTACTACATTACTACATTGTTCAGTTTCAATAATAATGTTTATTTTCTCATATTGCTTGTATTTAAAATTATTTAAGTCAAACCTAAAATTAAGCCAGAAAAACTAACTTTTATTTGATATATCAATAATTTTTATATTCCATCGTGTTTCTGAGTTAAACCACAAAAACACTAAGTTTTATGAATACTTACTTATTGCTTGTGGACATGAAAATATTATAATGGATAATTTTTTATTACTTGATGCTGGCAAGGGTATAGCCATATGAGTCTATGACTGAAGAAAAGAAATTACAAAAAATATGCCGACAAATAATTTTTTAGTGTTATTTTCATACTATTGGTCAAATTTCGCCCATATTAGATACACCAATATTTGTGTCCTATATTGATTTAATTTGGGATTTATAGGTTCTTTATACAAATGGGACTTATAAGGAAAAAGAATAGTGTTTCTTGTTTAATGTGTATATGGCGATTGATGGGATATTGGGTATGTGGTAGTGTGGAGATGAGCCTTCTATCACAATTTTCTATTTGAATCGCAACTGCGCAGTTTTTGTATGTAAACTGGAGAAAAGCTAGGGATAATGTTTAAAATAAATAAGTTACCGGCGTCGCATGCGAGCAGGTGCGTGGCGCGCTTGGGCGGCTGCAGCTGGTCGGGGCAGGCGCAGCGGCGGCCGGCCGGCACCGCCAGGCACAGGTGCGAGCACGGCAGCCGCGCGCACGCCGCACGCTCGCTCGCCGTGGCGTTGTAGCGCCGCGGGTGGTACACTGCAACGACACGCCCGGTACATGCTTCATGCACACCTAGCAACTATGATGACCTATGCTGGCAGAGCTTAAACGATAAAGCTATGCTGCAGCTATATTATGCTTGTATTACGAATAACTCAGCTCAACTGGAGTAGGGTCATAATCTCACAAAATATAAAAAAAAATTACACACATACACCAAATACATGATACATTTTAAAGCCTCTATCGAAATTCCCATCTAACAAAAACATAGAATCGCAAAATGTTAACTCATTCACTATACGTGGTATATATGGTAGAGCCACGCTGCAATACGTGGTAGATCCATGCTGCAGCTGTATAGGTGGACCTATTCATGCTACAACCATAATTGCCCCGACCAGAAGAACCACGCTCTCACAGAATACCAGCGTAAATAGCGGCTTAATACTTCTGTATTTCTTATAGTGAGTGTAGAGATCCAGAGACCCTTTTTAATGGAAACGAAGCATTCCATCTTAGTTCTCAAGAGTGACAACGCATCTGCATTTTGATTCTTAATCAAGAATAAATGTACATGTCTATGAGCCACAGCATCCACTTACCATCAGGTGGACTGAGTGCTTGTTTGTCACCCTTATACTATAAATAAACTGTCCCATGTACTACAAATTATTCATTGCTATTATCTTACTATTATGTCCGCAAATCCGACAGTGAATGTGTTAAAATATGCATAGGTACATTAGTTTTGCACTGCTAGTGCATTACAAATAAAAAGCAGAAAAAAGAAAAAAAGAAGTGTGTTGTGAACACACGATAGAACTGAAACTTTTGTAATTCAGGGAAACATTTTAATTATTCATCAATGACTTTAGATTATGCATAGATTAACCCTAAAGGATACATGAGTTTAAATTTGAACATTACTTTAAAAACTTAGGCGACTTTAAGACTGACTACTTTGCATAAAATTTTTGGTGACTTGGATTTGGAGAGACTAGAAGAGTACTAGGACTCACCACAGTGAATGAAGTAATTATTACCTATAGATTCCAGTGTAACATAAAATACTCATTAAAGTTTGTTAATCAGGTAATTATTTATTATTTATGTAATTTTATTTTACTTAACCAAAGTTTTATATTATGTTAACAAAAAAAAATATTTAAATAAAAATTTACAAATTGTTATTTAAAATAAACGCTGCTCTGCCTTATTGGCCTTCAAGTTACTTCCCTTGTTTATTGTTAAACCTGTTTTAAATAAGTGTTCACAATTAGAAAATATGTGTTCACAGGGCACGCTGGTAGCCATAACACATAATCTACGGCGCATTAAAGTATATAATCTTGGGTATTATTATTAATTTTAAACATATAAAGACTAAATTTTAGTTTACTAAATCAAAAGAATATTTTCACATGATTAACATTTTTTAATAGCGCCATCTACTTCATTCTATAAGTAAAGTCATTTTATCGAACCAGAAAAGATGCTTGATGGCTTAAAATTCATGTATTGTTATTAATGATATTAAAAAAAAATTATAAAATACATAATAATATTGAATAAAGTTAGCATGTTTGTCCAATCCATTCGTAACACGCTATGATTTGATTGATTTGATGATAATAATATGGCGTAAGGAAATGATGACCCCATCGCCCACTGATGTAACAGTTATGTGACAAAACTGCTACGTAAGCGCGGTCAGTCAACACCCTGCCAAGAGGGTGTGAGCGCCGTGCCTAGGCAAAATTGAGGTTGCAAAGGTCCGTTTGTGCATACGGCCGAACCACGAAACGGTGCCGGGCCTGGCATCACCCGTTAATTCGCGCCCGTAAAATGGGAGATGGCACAAAGGTACGCGCATATAGCCGCTGCCTAGAGGCCGCCATCCGAGCGCGATGCGTTACACGACCACCTCGTAGCCCCTTGCATCCACCATCCCCACCAGATGGCTTGGTGTCGGCAGGGTCCTCCCGGACTCAGCAAACGGCACCTGCTTCTGTTCGAGTACGCCGCATACGTTGGACTTCCTCAGGCAGTATATGGGACAGTGGAGAACGATCCTTTGTCATCTAGGCGAGCGAATGAGGGCTACGGAGGACCACATAAGTTCGACACCAATTTTGTTTTGCCTCTCTTTGAACCCTTTCAGTACCTTACTGGAGGGCTCCGGGAGGGGATATTTCAGCTTCGAAAAGCTTCGGAAGGTACAAAAGTAAGCCACTTTTTCTATATGGATGATCTCAAATTATTCGCCTCCAGTTGCTCCAATCTTATGGAAGTGCATCACTTGTGATTTTAGCAATTCTATTAGATTGAAACTTGGGACGGTGTACGGTCCTCCATGTTGAGAAGGGTAGGGTTAATTAACTCTAAGGGCATAGACTTATTTTTGCCCATTTCCGAGGCTGAAACATACCGAAATCAGGGTATGTCATAAAATATAGGTGTTGATGAGGCGGACATAGAAAAATCAGTTTTCGATCTGTTTTATGCACGCTTGACCAAAGTGCTTAAAGGCCTTTCGTCGAGCGTGAACCTATAACGGTTATAACTATATAACGGCATATAACGGTTGGTTCATGCCTGTCTTCATGTATACCTTTAGTATATTCAGGTGAACTCAGACCGAACTGAACGCTCTGTATAGGAAAGTCTGCACTGTTATGACGTCCCATAGGATGCACCATTCGAGATCGTCGGTAATGAGGCTGTACTTGCCGCGGGAGAATGGTGAGCGTGACATTTTAAGCGCGCTCACCATGCATAATCGCGAAGTGTGCAGCCTCCGTAATTACTTCCTGATGAGATCGGATGATCCATTCTTTAAAGACGTCGTTTATTGTGATAAGGGCTTACCCCTCTATCCTCAGCCAACAAGCTATGACAAGACCCGGCAGTACAGAGCATTTGCGACCGTGAGACCGAAGGGAAGGAGAAGGAGCTATAAGATATAACCTAAAGAATGGCACCGTCGACATTTATCGAGCTTGTCGCCACCCTGGTGAATAACTTAGGCATGTCATCTCCGGTTGTTCGACTCTTTATTGTGAGTACTTGTACAGACACAATCTAGTAGCCACAAGCAGCTCGTTCTGAAATATAGTCTCGTAAATCGTAAACTGCCTTATTATATTAAAAAAAATCATTAAAAAATTAATAAAATTTTATACACAACTTATTAATAAAAAAAAAACATTGAATGATCGACCTGAATCCGGTATTTAGGGTTTATCCCCACCACTTTTCGTCACACAAAAAGTTTTACTTCAAAAACAATTCTTATATATTCCAATATTTCTTATATTTATGCAAAAAATACACATTTAATAAAATTATTTTAGGGATTTTATCACGTTGATCTTAACTTACTACTTCCCAACGTTTCGGGCGCTTTACGGCATAGTAGTGCTTCCAACAACACAAGACAACAAAGATATCGCCCGCACAATCTCTAAATAAATTACACAACACAACAAAGATATCGGCCCGGCACAATCCCTAAATAAATTAAGCCGTGGGTACCGAGTTGTCAAACTGAGATCAGCTCAAGACTATGTGTCGTGGACTCAAGTGGAATACAGAAGCGTTTTATTCTCAGATTTGGTAAGTAACCCCTGATACTATTATAATACATTTATAATATTATTAGTTAAAAATAAAAATATAAATTTCTTCGCAACCTTGATGTGTCTTACCTGGATTGAAGAGCATCTCCCGCCCTCCCTCAATTCATGCACTAACTCCGTCACCACTAGTCCCAGCACCACTACTCCCGACACCACTACTTCCAACACCACTATTCCAGGTAAGACACACCATCGACGACAATACATATATATATATATATATATATATATATATATATATATATATATATACATATATATATATATATATATATATATATATATATATATATTTGTATTGTCGTCGATGGTGTGTCTTACCTGGAATAGTGGTGTTGGAAGTAGTGGTGTCGGGAGTAGTGGTGCTGGGACTAGTGGTGACGGAGTTAGTGCATGCAATTGAGGGAGGGCGGGAGGTGCTCTTCAATCCAGGTAAACCACATCATTGTATTTAGTTAGCGGAAGGTTGCGAAGAAATTTATATTTTTATTTTTATTATAATGGATTTCCGCAAAGTAACGCCTGATTCTATCAATTATTATTAGTTTATTACTGACCTTTTACAGCTGAAGGATTGACTAGATCTTTGGAAATTACGAATGGCACTCCTCTTCCGAATTTATCTTGTTTGATTAATTCACCAGTGTCTCTTGTCACCCAATATAAGGACGATTCGAATACATCCAGCGATAGTGGATGCTTAAGCATGTCGCCCTTCAAAATTACTTTCCTATTGGAACCGTCGTGCCGCATCATTTCTATTGTATTGAGCTTAGTGTCCGCCCAGTATATTGCATGGTCCATAGCATGATCAATAGCTAAACCAGTTGGATGTCTTATGTTTTCCGAAACAATCGGTCTTCTCTTTGAACCGTCCATCCAAGCTATCTCTATCTTGGGAGCAGATCCAGCATCCGCCCAAAACATGCGACCCATTTGCGGATCTAGAGCTAAAGATGTAGGACTTTCAATTCCAGCAGATACAAGCGCTCTTCTATATCTACCGTCAGTTCTGGCAACCATAACTCTGCCTCTCGGTTTGGAACCGGTTCTGTCGGCCTCTGTCCAGTAAAGATTATCACCTACGTAATCCACTGCTATCGCAGTTGGTTTGGAATTGCCTTTCATGTTCAAATCCTGAGCAAAACCAGTTTTAACTTGTCCATCCAAAGCGTTGACCATATATGATCGCTTAATAGTCTTTTCATAACTGTCAGCCCAAAAGACCATCTCTTTCTGCGGATCATAATCTATGGCCTCTATTCTCTTTTCTGAACTGATGACATCGAACTCCTCATTTTTGTCTTGAACGAAAGCTCTTATTACTGGTCCATTTGCAAACATTAATACTACTTCATCATCTGTTACTTTGCAAACACCGGATAAATTATCAGCCAATCTGGAAAATAGAAAACACGGTTATTTACTTCTTTGTATTATCGTCATAGTTGTAATTACAGTTTAAATTTAGATTTGTTTCGTTTATGGTAACTGATAATGAACAAAAATTTGTTTGGATAATTGAAATTATAATGGTTCAAATTTCATATCGGAGCTTCAGCGGTTTTAATTTCAATCTAGCCTTCCTTCTTTTCAACCTTTAGATTATTTTGGGGATGTAGGACTTCGGCTACTAGAGACTACGTACGGAAATGTGAACTACGAGACTTTGTGAAGTCGAGAATGTAAAAGTAAAAAATGTTTTAGTAGGCAACACATTCAAATTTATGTCATAATGTTATAATATGTTGGAAGTCCCCATAAAACAGACTATAAAATTAGACCATAGAATTAGTTGTATTGAACTGTGTACCTCAGGGGCCATGCGCTCGGTGTAAATTTCACAGTACACAACGTCATGGTTGGCACCAATAGATTTGTTAATTGCAACTTTTATGCTGATTCACTACACGACGTTTACGCGGTGAAGTAAAATATCATGAGGAAACCTGCATGTCTAAGAAATAAAAAAAAATATTTCAAAACCATGCGCTTTTTTATATAGAAGTCCGCCAATACGCATTTGGGTAGCGTGGCGTGGCGTAAAGTAAACCAACAGTAAAATTTAGTTAGTATTTTTTAATTGTTAGTTAATGCGGGTAGTAGAAAATGTTGTCGGCAATTAAATAAGTAGTATCAAAAAGGACAGTTACTGGAAGCCCTCACGACAAGCGCAGCTGTAGCTGCCGTTGAGGTTATTGCAGAGGTGGCTGCAGTGGTGCGTGCCAGCCGCACACTCGTCCACGTCCACGCACTTCTTGCTGTCGGCCGCCGCGATGATGTAGCCCGGGAAGCACGTGCAGATGTACCCGCCTGCCGTGCCTTCCACCGTGGTAATGTTCGTGCAGAACTGTTCGCACCCGCCTGCAAGTAAGTCACTTACCATTATAATATAATGATTTTTAATGGCTGTGGCTCGACCAGGGTAGGATCACGCTCTCACAGAAAACCAGCGTGAAATAGCAGCTCAACGCTGCTGTATTTTGTGTAGTGATGTACAGCACCGAAGACTCTTTCTACTGGCATTTTGCTTCTTAATTGAGGATAGATTTAGATGTCTATGAGCCACAATATACTATAAGGTGGACTGTGTGCTTGTTAGCCACATTTATTTTATTAAAAATGGCGTCTTTATAGAATGACACTATCTTTTTAGGGTTCCGTAGTCAACTAGGAACCCTTATAGTTTCGCCATGTCTGTCTGTCCGTCTGTCCGTCCTCGCTTAATCTCTGTGACCGTTACCACTAGAAAGCTGAAATTTGGTACCAATATGTGTATCAATCACGCCGACAAAGTGGTAAAAAATGTTTTATTAGGGTAGCCCCCCTATATGTAAAGTGGGAAGTGATTTTTTTTTAATTTCAACCCTAACGTGTGATATATTGTTGGAAAGGTATTTAAAAATGAATAGGGATTTACTAAAATCATTTTTGATAATGTCAATAATTTCTAGTAAGACTTTCTAGGAAAATCATATTGAACTTGGATGGAAACAACAGTACCCACTACCGGGAGCAGTTGCAGGAGCGCGGAGCGCTGCTGGAGCGCGAACATAATGGATACCCACCTTTAAACTCATAAGTGGGAACACTTATTGTGACGGACGGGAAACTACGGAACCCTACACTGAGCGTGGCCCGACACGCTCTTGGCCGGTTTTTTTTAACTTTACCCACACACTAGGATTTTCTCCTGCATCGTGGAGGTAGTTTACAAACATAAATTGCACAAGGACAAACATCCAGACTCGGAACAATTATCTGTAGGCCATACAAATACTTGTGCCGTGCGGGAATTGAATCCGCGGCTCCCAGCGCAGCCAATCATTGCTAAGCCATTGCGCCACGGAGCCGTCATACTATAAAATTGCTAGATTGTACCATTGTCGTGAAGGTCGCAGGTGCGGTCAGTGTGACAGCTCAACTCATCGTATTCAGTCATTAGAGCGGGTGTACCTTTGTCGCGCAGGTCGCAGGTGCGGTCGGTGTGGCAGCCCAGCTCGTCGGACGCGTCGCCGCAGTGGTCGCGCAGATCGCACAGCGCGGTGCGCGGCACGCAGCGGCGGTTCGCGCACTGGAACTGCGACAGCGGCTCGCACGGCCGCGCGCGCGCCGCGCACAGCGTCATGTTGTTCTCGTCCGACCCGTCGCCGCAGTTGTCCACGCCGTCGCACACCTGATACCTGCACATCGTTCTCTAAGTTTCAACTACCGTCACTTTCTAACCTTCTTAAGTGTATTCTTTAATCGTTAATTTTGGATTCCTTTATAGGTATGGGTTTATATAATTAATGTAAGAGTGTAACCCCAAAATATATAATAGCACTACGTACAAGTTACACATCTTTGATGTTGACTACTTGCCAACGTTTTAATGGCCAACATAGTTATTATTAATTACATATACAAAAACTATATCTCTGAGTGCTGGTGTCTGTATGGCTTTGCATCTAGGTCAAGGTACTATACCTAGGTAACCTCGGACGATATTCCGTGGTTACTTAGGTATAGTCTCTTTTATTTATTTTGTAATGTTGGGAGGTTCGAGGAATAAATTAAACGTCTGGCGGTCGTGAATGTAGGTTTATTACTAACTCTAAATGTCTATTAGGCTATCATATATATAGCTACATGAGCATACACTAAACACACACTACACGCCCATCGGCAAAAAAGAAAAAAAATTGAATTACAATTTTTTTTTTCAATAAAACAAAACTTGGTGTAAGATTCAAAAAAATTATTAATTATTTAAAATATTAAAATTCCTATCCTATATTAAACTTATAACATAATAAAATAAAATAAAATATCGTAAACACTGTAATTTGAAAAAAAAAAATAACTTTCTATCTCTTTATTTAAATTTATTAAACTGTCATCAAATTTAAGTCTAATCTAAGTTTTTGTTTTAAATTGCTTTTAGGTTGCCTATCATAACTGCATAACATTTAAAATTTTCATATATAACTATTAATTCACTAGACACGAAAATACAGTTAAAAAATAAAGTTATCAAAATTATTATAAGGCGTATATAAGGTTGTTTACAATATTATTATTTTCTTAAACTTAAACTATATTTTTAAATTTAAACCTTTAGATAATTTAAAGGTAAAAAAAACCAATTCCATTAAAATAGTAAGTATCCTTATTTTTAAGTAGATAAACTTCAACATACTTATTTAAATCACACTGTAGTGTGATTTAAATAAGTATGTTCTGGGCCCCTATCTATAAAACCCTATCTATAAAACCCAACGAACATTACAAGCCTAATTTTGTTATACCTTAATTAATTATATGTGTGAAATGTTCTTAATAAATGTTTCTTCGCTTCTTTCAAAGTGAACTAGTGATCAACAAAATCAAACTACTAGTAATTCACACTACTGTTAAAATATATATAATGATTAATATACAACATGATCGATAGTGTACCTGTTAGAAATCTTTTAATTGCTTTTAATACTTCAAAGGCACAAATAATTGTTTTTTCCCCACTTCATAAACTTTATGTTTTGACATCATTAATTCACATCGCATTTTTTTTGTCATATAAGTTGTTTAATATTTGTCTTAGCTTCAATAGTTCATAAGTCATTAGAGTTTAGAGCTATTACCTAAATTCAATAATCATATTAGCTCAAAAAAAAAGTATCGAACTACTATACAGTTTTGTATTACAAAATAATAGTTTATTTTATCAAGTCTTTTTTATCAATTGAATACTGGATTTTAATCGTAGATAAAGTGAATGAAAAAGTATAAAGTCAATATTTTGAAGGCAAGTCAGGAGACAACAGTAGTGTATATTAATGCATCATTCTGTATCAACTACGTGTAATATTCCGATGCCTTATATGCAAAAGATCACGTCAGCATTGTTTAGAATTTGATGCGCAATGTTAATACAAAGAAAACATGATATTACATTTCGATGAATTCTTAAACAATAACTGTACAAAATATTGCAATTTTCATTATTAATAAAATATATCAGTTAATATTCTTTTGAGTTATTAAGTTAAGCTGCATTTAAAATTTATATTATTCATCGATCAATTTATATTTTACAAAATTTATTCATAAGTTGTCTTTTATCTGATAGCAATAAAATAAAGTTCCTCTTTTTCATTCGTTATGTTAAGTATTTTAGAACCAAATAGATAATTAAAGTAATCACGCAAAATAATAAGGATATGAATATACAAACAGCACTTGCTTTCTATTGAGAGTGTTCCATCTATTAAATGAACAAAATGAGTTAAAAATAAAAAATGGTAAAAATATATGATTGGTGACTAAAGTTATTATATTTTTAATTTTATGAAATTAGAATTTTAAAAGATATAAATACTTAATTAAAATCACTCACCTTAAAATATAATCATATAATTTGCATTTTATACAGTAATTATTTTGTAGATACATCAAGCATATTTTTTACATTACAGTCTCTATTAAATTTTTTTTTATGTTTCTTGAAAATAAAATACTTCCTGTTTTCTGGTACGTAATATGGAGTACACGAAAAATTCAGTCCTCCTAAAAACTGGCCACTCGATTAAATTCATGGTAATTTAAAATAAAAATATCTTCTTTTTGTTTTCCTTGGTTGTTACGAGTTTTTGAAAATTGTGTATATATCTTGATAATGTAAAATTTCCTTTGTGAACACCATTGCGTACTTCAATTTAGATCTTCTCAACCAATATTCTTCTTATCCGGAGTGAAAAAGTTATTTCTCTTATCCTCTCTTCTCCTTTTTGATGCATCTTTGCCTTTTGATTTTATACTTCTTATGTTTTAATTTTATTTTATAACTATTTATTCACAATCATATAAATTTTTGATGGCTGGCTCTACACGACTTTAATTAATTTTCTCAATCCGGGAATGTGTCATATGTTCATGTGTCATAACTTTTATTTAACGATTTTTTATGTATTTGTTATAATTTTACTATCGGTGGCCAGCCGGTGCGCGCGGCGAGCGGAGTCGCGCGCGCACCGACTGGCAGGGTCGCCATGTAATGTTGGGAGGTTCGAGGAATAAATTAAACGTCTGGCGGTCGTGAATGTAGGTTTATTACTAACTCTAAATGTCTATTAGGCTATCATATATATAGCTACATGAGCATACACTAAACACACACTACAATTTATTTATTTTACAACTGTTTTATTTTAATGTAAAGTGTTATATTTTTTACTGTCTCTAAAATAACGGGTATTATATTTAAGAGTGGAAAAGACTCTAAATATGACGTATAATTTAAGTAAACAGTAAGTGATAAAATTAATATTTGTTTAGTATGGCTTTGCATCTAGGTCAAGGTACTATACCTAGGTAACCTCGGACGATATTCCGTGGTTACTTAGGTATAGTCTCTTTTATTTATTTATTTATTTTACAACTGTTTTACTTTAATGTAAAGTGTTATATTTTTTACTGTCTCTAAAATAACGGGTATTATATTTAAGAGTGGAAAAGACTCTAAATATGACGTATAATTTAAGTAAACAGTAAGTGATAAAATTAATATTTGTTTACAATTTAGTTGCTGGTTTTTTTTATTATTATATTTTTAGAATTGTTAATGAATGTATTTTATATAACATACACTAAAATTACATAAATTACACTAAAACTTATCCCAACTATTAAGAAGAAGAATAAACAAAAAGTATTTAAACAAGTATTTACAAAAATCACGTACAGTAATGCTGTTAAAAACCTATGAAATTAACTGGTGCGCTGCTCCCCTAAAACACACCAGCCCTGACTGCGTGCGTATGTAACCTGACATTGCGCGGAATTGTGGGTATTTAACTATCTATATAAGAATGACAACGGTCTGGTGTAACGTCATAGTAATTACATATATTGTATATATTTGCTAACTAAAACATAATAATGATAAATACTTTTAATAATAATAAAAAATACTACTAGATTATAATGAACATAAAGTTTTTTTTTAATTTTAAACGAGCACCGATTCGTAACTCCCATTTTTTTTGGTTATTTTTAACTCCCAAAGATTACTTATGTAAGACTAATAATATTTTTTATATTTACGCAAACACTACACATTGAATAAAACTACTTTTCTCTCCGTTTAATTTAAATTACACAATTTGCAGCACACATGGTCTTCAACGTGGCCCATGACATCTGAAAACGTCTGGGGTTCAAAAGTAAGTAAAATTATTTTCATCTGCTCGTAAGCGGTCCACTACACTAGGAACAAGAACAAGGTGGACCTTGGTGTAATGAGCATGTTTGGCGGCCAGATTGACGATAGTACTGTCTAACACTTAACGCTGGTCCAGTGTTACAACCCCAAGTTTGTCTCTGAGGTAGATATGAATTCAGAAGTTGGTAGTTTCTTACCAATCCTACTTTGAAAAGTTAGTAAATTTATAACAATGTGATACTTAAAAATAATCTTTCAATTGGGTAAAAATATTTGACTTCTATTTGTAAGGAGCTTTACGTGTTAGAGCCACGCTGCAGCTGTATTTTATTTGTAGCATGAATAGGTCGGCTCAACCGGGACAGGATCACGCTCTCACAGAATACCAGCGATAAATAGCAGTGAAGTGCTGCTGTGTTTCGTATGGTGACTAGAATCGAGGCATTCCATCTTAGTCCTCAGGGGTTGACAACGCATTTGCATTTTGATTCTTAATTGAGGATATATGTGGATGTCTATTGGCTACAGCATCGACTTACCATCAGGTGGACTGTGTGCTAGTTTGTCACCTAATGCTATAAAAAAGGACCCCATGTGAAAGCAGGATCATTGATCATCAATTTCAAATATAAAACCCGAAAAAATAAAAAACGGAAGAACAAATCATGATGAGTTTAGTATATACTGATTTAATAGTTTTTAGTTATTATAAATATTCAATTCCTTTATTCGTATAAATAAACTTACTTGTACCTGAAGACAATTTATAGCAGTGATAATCGAGTATTCATTTGAGATTCTATGATATGTTATTATTAGAATCAATCAATGTGAAATCTTCAATACTACTACCCTAAGAGCATATTTTTTATTTTTCTGTACTAAAAGTAGTTTGAGCTTTGAGTTGCGAAATTCATACATTTACTTTTACAATGAAGTCCTGCCGCTTAAACGTAGTGATTATATTCTCTTTGGTCAGAGCATGAAGTAATGTCCTCTCTCTATTCTTTATTATATTCAAATACAGGGGATTAGGTAAATAGGAAAATAGGTTGATGAAAAAACTTGTAAAAACTTGCGAAATAGAACTAAAATTTTGCAAAAATTCAAAAGTTGGTAGATTTTTTGCAAGGTAGTAGACAGGAGTTAGATACTAAAAGTTGGTAGAACTACCGCAAAAGTTGGTAAAGCTGGTAGCACTGCGCTGGTCGCTAGTCTAGCTACCAGGGTGGTTTGAAAAGTTTCCGACCTCAACGTGAAGATGGCAGCACTCGACAATAAAAGCTAGTTAATGTAGTGCATCTTTTTACAATCATGCACCAAAAGTTCAGTCATTTTGGATGCGTAGTTGTTATTTGATAGTCGTTTAAATGAGTCGATGTGAGTGTTTTTGTGAAAATGGAAAAATTCAGTATCGAGCTGTCATTACATTTTTGTTTTTGGAAAGCAATACGCCTACGCAAATAAAAGATAAGTTGGACTCTATGTATATCTATGTCTCTATGTATTTTGGGCAGCTAAATTTAAACGTGGCCGTGAGAGCTTGGGAGACGATCGGGAAGAAGAAGAAGAAGTTCGGGACGTCCAAAAACTGCAACTACTGAACATAGCTAAAGTTCACCAAATGGTGCTAGACCACCACCGAATTAAAGTGAGAGAGATAGGCTATGAAAATGTCCAAAGAACGTGTTTGCCACATATTAAATCAAGATTTAGGCATGAGAAAGCTCTCAGCGCGTTGGGTGCCGCGTTTGCTTACGTTAGACCAAAATCACCATTATACGCCCGAAACAAAAAGTCAAAGAGTGGACTGCAAAGGGAAAACCGGCTCCAAAAAAGCAAAAGCTGTTTTTTCGGCTGTGAAAGTGGTGGCGACTGTTTTTTGGTATAACCATTGTTACGGCCTTGAGTTACCCTGACAAAGTCGAGACTAGGGCCCATTAATAGTCCAATTCGACGGGTAACAAAAGGGAGGGTCCAAGACCTATGGATAATTAAATTGTAACGGCTAACAAAGAAGCAAGCAACACTTACCGATTGGCGGAGGTAGGGTTAACCACAGGGCAATTGTCAGGTGAAAGGTGATGTGCATGTAAGTGGTGTGCAGTATTGTGTTTAATTTGTAACCTGACATCCCCGCTGATCCTGGACAGCAGATCCTAAGGCACTGCCTCTCTCCAAGTGTGGGACCCATCCAAGGGGACGCACACCAATAGAAAACTTCCGCTTCTATTTTCACTATATAGTTTATCACTTGATTGTACATTTAATTAACTTCAAATTCAACTAAATCAACGTTAAACAGTGGCACACTGCACAACTCAAGGACGGTTGATCAAAGTTCAATGTCCCAGGCTCACGTAGCACAAAACTACTAACTCGTCGATGCAATTAACGGCTTAAAGGTTCCTTTAATCACTACAAATTTCAAGTAGGCCTCCTGTCACGTAACACGTTCAAACAGACAACTAAATTCGAGGAGGAAATAAACTCAAGAAATAAGCTTCGTTGTCACGTATATTAACGACCAAAAACAACACCATCGAGGCCGTCTATAAGTGACGCAAAAATTATATCAAACTCGCGACCTCTAAATCGACCCGGGAGATTACGTAACACCAGACGTTCAACTGGCGCGGTTTCACCGACTGCAGCGCGGTCTATGCGCGCACGACGCCGCAAGCCTCCGCCTCCCGCGACACGCCAACCGCTTCCCCACCCCGCTCGAGACCATCGTGCGTAAACAATCATGGAGTTATCTTAATCGATTACCTTCAAAAAGGAAAACCCATTACAGGAGTATACTACGCATCATTACTTGACAAACTGAAGGCAGAAATTGTGGAAAAAGGGCACATTTGCAGAAAAAGAAAAATGTTTCATCATGACAACATAGTTGCCATGGCGAAAATACACGAATTATGGTTGCAACTGTTTGGCCATCCGCCTTACTCACCAGATCTAGCCCCAAGCGATTTCTTTTTATTCGAGGACAGAGATTTTCGTCAAAAGATGAGGCAATCACCATCGTGAACAATTATTTTGCAAGGACAAGACTATGTAGAAAAATAAAAATAAATTTTAAGAAAAAAATGTCTTGTATCTGTTAGGGCGGAAACTTTTCAGACCACCCACGTATTTTATATCTATCATATTTGTTGGGGCATTATAATTTACTTCGGATTGTCTGTGATAGGTCAGTCCATTTGACTTTTCAAAGTGTTTATGCTTGTGAACCTACACGTGAGCAAAACCGGGGCCAATCTTGCTCATCACTGACTTAGCTGTCGAAGGCTCGCAACAGCGGGAACAATATTCGAGATGGTTATGAAGACTTACATTATTCACGGGACGAAATTAAGAATAACTATAGCTTACGTAGTTAGGGAAAATTTCATAAAAAAAGTTTTCCCGTATTCTATTTTTGACTGTAAGCACAAATCATGTAAACAAGATTAAAATATGCGCTAAGGGTTTTTTTTTTTGCTAAAAACTCCTCGTATCACATACCTCGGCACACAGCGGTGATTGTCGCAGTGGAAGCGGCGCAAAGTATCGCAGTTAAAGTTCGTGCAGATAGCGGGCGTCTCGTCCGAGCCATCGCCACAGTCGTCTGTGCCATCGCACAGGTCCGACTGGGACACGCACAGATTGTTCGCGCACTGGAATCTTAAAAATAAATAATAAATTCATTAACTAAAGATAAAAAATATGTAATTAAAGTTTTAGAAAGATAGTTTAGTTAGTTAGTGTTCAATTTATTCAAACAAAAATACAAGCAATTCTGTTCACATTACAACTTATACATAATACCTGTAACCACTGCCTGTAAGCTTAAAATGATTGTCTTAGGAGTGGTTCACGACAGTAGCCGAATGGCGAGTCAAACCCTCGACCTTTTGAGTTCGCGGTCCGCACCCTGACATTAGGCTACTGTCGCGTCACAGTTTAATTATTCTCAATGTTTAAAAATAATAATATTTGGTCAAAAAAAAGATGGTTTACCTGCTTTCCGGACAGTATCTGCCTCCTGGGAAGCGTGGAGGACATCCGATCTCATCAGACAAATCTCTACAATCCCTGTCTCCGTCGCATCTAAAGTAGGCAGCAATACAGTGACCAGATTTGCATTGGAACGTGCCGTTCTTACATTTGAACCCACCACAGTCCGATTCGTCTGTGTTATCGCCACAATCGTCTTCGTGATCACACCGCCATCTTGATGATATGCATTTGCCATTACCACATTTGAACTCAGATTCTGAGCATTCCCTATACTTGTGTTGGCAAACTGATTCTGCCTCATCGCTGCCATCTCCACAATCATCGGTAAAGTCACAAAGCCATTGTTTTGGTATACAACGCTTATTCTCACAAGTGAAGTCTGTTTCTGCATTACAAGTGGGACAATTTTCAGGAAGTTCATCAGATCCGTCTCTGCAGTCATCTTTGCCATCACAGAAGAGCCATTTTGGTATACATCTGTAATTTGATTGTCCAGGACATCTCCTCCACCCAGTTGTACAATTCCTTTGGCGACACATATATGCCGGTTCATCAGAATCGTCACCACAATCGTTGTCAAAGTCACACATCCACAATTTCGGAATGCAACGGCCATTTTTGCAGGAAAACTCTGTGTCCGGATTACAAGGCCTGTTGTGACACATTGCTGGGTCTTCATCGCTGTTATCTTTACAGTCTGTATCACCGTCACATTTCCAACTATCCAGAATGCATCTTCCACTAGACTTGCACTTAAATTCCAGAAGAGGGCATTCGTGAGCACATTCAGCTTCATCGCTTCCATCCCCACAGTCATCCGTACCATCACATATAGTTGCTGCGGGTGTGCAGTTAGTGTTCTTACACTGGAATGATCCAGCTCTGCAATGTCGTACTGGGCAGGTATCTGGTTCATCAGATCCATCCATGCAGTCTTTTTCACCGTCACATTTCCAAAACCATGGTATGCATTTCTCATCACGACCGTTACATCTATGTTGCCCATCTGTACAGTTAGCAATACAAGTTTTCATATCTCGTGCTAAGTAAAACTGATTGGGACAAGCGCATTTGTATGTTGTTACACCCTCTTCGCCGTAGCCTTCAATATTTAAGTAGCTAGACGCATGAGGTGGGGCAATGAGACAAAGGTGAGAACAGCCTCCATTGTCTGTGCCACAAGGGTTTGGATACGTTAACTGTCTTAGTGGGTGGACTACGTGAATATCATATGGACGATGGGTGGTGTTCCTCAATACCATGAGATTTTCCCCTGAATGTTTGTTTGCTTTGCTTATAGCTTTCAGGTTCCAGTCGGTCCAGTAAATTTCATCGTCGAATAAGCTTAAAGCAAATACATGTGGGACCTTAGTACCAGACAGTACAATGTGTCTGTGTCGACCTTCTAAGTCGGCTGAACCAATATAGTCTAAATGAGCATCGGCCCAATATATCCTGTCAGTAAAGTAATCGATAGTCAAAGCATTTGGCCAGGCAATATCATCCTCCCAATTTAATATAGCAGTGAAATTTGAACCGTCCATTCCAATTTTGCCGATGTAAGCTTGCAAATGCCATGATGTATAGTACAAATATCCTGTTCCAGGATGAGCTACGATGGCTCGTGGATCGGCTATTCCAGTTTTCAATGTCTTTCTTCTCGTACCATCCAGTTCAGCTACATCCAAATTCTTTGAATGTCGGTCTAACCAGTAGATTTTTCTACCTATCCAATCGATAGCAATGCCCTCTAAACCATGAGAATCGTGTCTGATGACAACCTCCTTTGTCGGGTTAGGCTCAGAATAATCTGATCTGTAAATTGTCTTTGCCGAAACATCAGCAAAGTACATCTTTTGTTCCTTTATATCAAAATCGATAGCAACGACATTCATTAGGTCTTGATGTACCAAATTATATTGGGAAGCATCAATAGACATGTTTCTCACGTAGTATTTATTTGTAAATATAACCCATGCTGTTATGTTGTCCTTTCTCTTGCAAGTGCGCTCGTCAGTTTCTCTTTCATAATATTGTTCATTACATTTACAATAATAGGAACCAGGTGTATTCGAGCAGTACTGCGAACAAACGCCAGGCGTCTCCAAACATTCGTTTATATCAGCGCACGCTTTACCATCAGCGAGCAGTTTATATCCTTGATTACAATCACAATAATATCCTGTTAGTGTATCAATGCACTTGTGGCCGCATTGGTTGATTTCTAACTTGGCGCACTCATCAACGTTACAATGAGCTGGCTCGTCAGAATCATCGGAACAATCCGAGACTTTATTACATACGAGTCGGTTGTCTATGCACTGATCGTTGTTACATTTAAATTGGCCTGCAGGGCACGTTTTATTTTCTTTAACACATCCAACTTCATCTGAATGGTCACCGCAATCGTCTTCGCCATCGCACCTAAAGTGGTTGCGGATACATTTGAAATTCTGGCATTTAAATTCTTGATCTGTACACTGTTTGTATTGCGTATTACAGTGTTTGCCCTCATCTGAACCGTCCCCACAATCGTTATCGTGATCGCATACCCAGCCTTGGTTGATACATCTACCGTTGTTGCATTGAAACTGATCCTCAGAACAGGGTGTAGGCGTTGAGCAATGATGGATAGTAGAGTTTTCATCGGTGCCGTCAATACAATCCGGGTCGCCATCACATACCCATTTCTTCGGAATGCATTGAGCGCGATTCCAAAATTTATTCTCCTCGCAAGTGTATTCCGTTTCTGGGTCACATTTTCTTTCGTTGCATTGGTGCCTATCATCTTCGTCACTGTTGTCGAGACAGTCGTTATCACCATCGCAAATGTAAATTCGCGGTATACAATTTCCATTGTCGCATGTAAACAAGTCTCCGAAACATGTGCGTCCTTCTGATCGACAATATTCTGGTGGTTCATCAGCCCCATCGCCACAGTCGTCATCACCGTCACAATACCAAGTGGCAGGGATACAGCGATGGTTGGGGCAACGGAAGCTGTTTTGTGGACAAGTTCTCTGAGCACAATGTAGCGGGTCTTCATCTGAATTATCACCACAGTCATTATCGCCGTCACACAGCCAGTACGGTTCAACACAAATATTAGTCTTTTCGCATTTGAGATGGTTAGTGGGACATGTGGTGTTTCTTGGACAACGCTCATGTGTTTCATCGGAAGTAATGTTATCTTTACAATCGTTAATTCCGTTACAGACTTGAGACATCGGTATGCAACGGGAATTGAGGCATGTGAACTCTCCGTCAGCACAAGGCGGGTAAATGCATCCTTCTTCGTCTGAACCATCCTTGCAATCGTTCTCGTGGTCACATTTCCATGACTTAAAAATACACCTACCATTGTTACAACGGAATTCGTTTGGTGAGCAGGAGTGATATGCGCAGTAGTTCTTGTCCTCATCTGAATTGTCTCCACAGTCGTCGTCGCCGTCGCAAGACCACATGCGGCTGATGCACTTTCCATTGGCACAGAAGAACTTGCTGGGATCACAAGTTATATTCTTCGCTACACACATGCGACCCTCGTTTACCAGTTTAGTGTTGTCATCACATTTGCATTCAACAGAATTATTAGGCGCGGGGTGACAGCTCTGTGCGCAACCACCATTGCTGATTAAACATGGGTTTTTCTTACATGTTTGTCTGCTTGTACTGTAAATGTGTATGTCTCTAGGAGAGTCTTCCAACCGTTTAACCATTTCTACCATATTAGCCCCTGTGTGTTTCTCCGCTCGGTAAACGCCTCGTAGCTGCAAGTCAGTCCAGTAGATGTAATTCCTAAACACGGTTATTGCGAAGGGATATATGGTTGCAGAAATAAGCACTTCTCTGTCCGATCCGTCCATTTTCGAGCGTTCAATTTTTTCTCTTACAGCATCTGTCCAATAAAGCATGTAGTCATCAAAGTCGATTGTTAAGCCACTCGGCTGAGATAAGTCCTTGTCTATTATGGCCTTCTTAAGAGAGCCAGCCATAGTCGTTCTGTAGATTTTTCCTGAAGTGCCAAATCGACCCCAGTCTGTGTAATACAATGTGCCATTACATGGGTCGACTACTATTGCTCTTGGACGTTCTACTCTTGCGATCATGACTAGCTCAGTACCATCGAGATTCATAGCGTAGATAGAATTATTTGAGCTGTCTGTCCAATATATTTTCTTTTGAGTCCAGTCATAAGAAATTCCTTCTGGGTTTATGTTCTTGGTTATAATATTTTGAATATTTGACGCATCTGGGTTAATGGATGACATCCATGCTATACGTGCCCATGGTCTAATTTGGGTAAAGAAGAGCTTATTATCAGCGTAATCAAATTCAACACCGACAACGTTTGTCAAGTTACCAATTGGTTTAAATGGTACTCCGGTAGATTTGGGATCCAAGTTGACTGCGCGAATTTCTGTCCTTGTTGTAAAGACTAAGTACTCATCTACTACATCGCATTTTTTGGGGTTGGTTGCTGATATTTGTCCAGTAGCACAGTCACATCTATGTGTGTATCCCTTATTTGCATCTGGTGGGTAACTAAAGCACAGTTGTTCGCAACCTCCATTTCCTAGCTTTCGGCAGGGATTATTATCATCGGTGGGTTGATTATTTATATCAAAAATAACGATATCTCTCAACTTTGGCAGATTGGTTCTTAATTTTTCGGGCATCGACATATTTCCTGGTAGTTTGGATGCTTTGTATATCGTTTGTAAGTTCCTGTCTACCCAATAAACACTTCCGGTGTGGATCGCTATACCCATAGGGTTAGGCAGATTAGACCTTATAAGCTGTCTGTTACCACCGTTGTACGAGATCTTTTGAATTTGATCAAGTTTGGAATCAACCCAATAGACATCGTGAGTTAACATATCAATAGTCAAATCTCTAGGGTTCGAAATTCCTGAACTAACAACAGTCTGCCAGTTACTGCCATCGAGATATGCTTTTCCTATTCTCGGATACTGTCCGTAATCGATCCAATAAAGTAGCCTTTTCAATGGATTTACTGCTAGTTCTCTCGGGGCGTCCATTGTTGTTTTTATAAGAACCTTTCTGTGAGAACCATCAAGCCAAGACATTTCGACGTAGTTTTCGTGTGGAAAGACATTTGTGAAATATAAATTACCCGCAACCCAATCAACTGCCAAGCCCCTTATGCCATTGCTACCAATTCCGTCTTTGACGATGTGTTGCAACTCTGTGCCATTGGGCCGAATGCGGAATATTCCATTCCATTGACCGCGGTTAAATTCTACCCAATAAATAAAGTTATCTGCAAAATGAACGTCGACATGTAAAATGTGATGACCTTGTCCGGTCACAGGAACCATCGCCTCTGCACTATTTTCTAGACTGTATCCACGGATGAGGTCCAACTGAGACACGACAGCGAAAGTTTTGTAGGGAACACAATTCACTTCATTTTCTTTTCGGTAGCCAATTGAGCACGAACAAATACGCGACCCACCTTCGCTTGGTATACAGATCTGTTCACAACCGCCATTATTTAGTGAGCATGGGTGATGATGCATCATTTTCCTCTTTTGGAATATTGTTAGTGATTTTAGATCACTTTCATTATCAAGTATAACCTTGATGTTGTCGCCATTTGGAAGGTCAGCTTTGATTATTTTTTCATGACGGGGGTCAAGGACGTAAAGGCGAGAATCCAATACGGCAATAACTTTCGGATAAGAGATGGCGTTGGCTTCAGTCAAAATGGTCTTTCTGTCGTTTCCTTCAGTGTTTACGCTGTTAATGCTAGCAGGGAACTGCGTACTGAAGTAAACGATTTTCTTTTCAACGTCGATTGCTACAGCTTCCGGTCTCTCTATCACGTCAACTAAAATAACAGGATTTGTTCCATCCATATTCACTTTTCCGATTTTAGCTGGAACTCCGTATCCGCCTTCGTCGGACCAGTATATCTTTCTGTAAAAAAAAAGAAAACAATTGCATGAATTAATGACTATAGCAATATGTTTGAAGATATTTTATTATCACATTTTATGACCTATATTTGAATCACATATATTTGAATGAATTCAATTTTTTTAAGATCTTTCATAAATTTTGTCACATTTTTAAGGGGTGAGGTCACTGGTTACGGAGTTGTTTTTAAAATAATTATATATTATATGCTTTATATTACCATAAAAAGACAAACTTTATGGAAGCAACTTACCCTTCTGTGGGATCTAAGCACATGCTCCGCGGCCGCGCAATAGATGTCTTGCTACCATCGTTTGCAAAAACAATAGTTCTATATTTGACTTTGCCATCTACACGAATAAGTTCGATGTTGCTGGCTACTCTGTTAGCCATGAACAAGTTTCTTCCGAGCCAATCAAATGCGATTACCGATGGGGCACCGACGATTCCCGTATCCTGTCCGAAAAACTCAATTTTGTTTCCACCTCCATAAGGCATGCTGTAAACTGTGCAGTTTTCATCATCGTTGCTATCACCAGTGATGGATTGGAGCCAGTATAGCATGTGGCCTTGACGATCATAATCCAGTTGTACTCCACCTAGAAACAGTACGAAATTTGTTAGTATCTCTGAGTGGAGAATTAAAATTTGTACACATTAATTTACTTAGATTGACTATGTTGTGAAAAAGTAACTTTCTAATTAGATAGCGCTATAAAGACATACCTTGGATTCCAACAACTGGCGAAAGTTGTCCTGCTCTTCCGGAACCATCAGTGGATATGTCAATGACTTGTGATCCTTTCAGAACCATCAAGTACGCAGATTCCTCTGTAAAAAGAAAATAAAAATATATAGAAAACAAATTGTAATGAAAAATTATTGACTTAAAAATAATAAATAAATAATTCTTTACCTTCAATACATTTTCCATCGGGAAGTAATTTGAATCCAGGTTTACACATACAAGTATATTGAATTGTTTGGTTCGGGCTGAGCAAACATAAATGTTCACATGTGTTCACCTTACACGGTGATGGGTACTGCGGTTGTAATGATGGATGGTGAACGTGAATCGAAAGAGGCTGTGAGATTAAGTGTGATACCACTGTTTGATTTGTGCCTTTAAATTTATGAGCAGACAGCACTCTGTTTAACTGACGATCTGTCCAGTACAACGTGTCTTCGAAAAGCGTCAATGAATGCGGATGCAACAAGTAATGGCTGCCGGCTAACACCTGCTGTCTCCCTGTGCCGTTATAGTAGCAGAAGTCAATGAAGTCCAATTTAGAATCTGCAAAGTACACTCTCTGTGTGGCAGTATCAAGTGTCAAACCATTAGGCCAATATATTTTAGTCGTGATGATAGCAGAGCGTTGAGTACCATCCATTCCAACCCTCTCAATGCGAGGATTTTCTCCCCAGTCAGTCCAGAACAACCATCTTGCGTTTGGTGCCGGATCTAAGCACATTCCTCTAGGCTGTGTAATGTTGCCACTCAATAAAGTCGTTCTTGAACTGCCATCTTCTTTGGCGACTTCAATAGTGTTTAGTTTACTGTCCAACCAATAAATGTTTCCACCCACCCAGTCGTAAGCTAAGCCTTCGACTAAATCTAATCCAGTGGAAATAATCACTTGAGGTTCGCTGCCACGATCCAACCTAGAAATTTTCTTAAGTTTCATATCGGACCAGAATATTGTTCCAGTGTGCATATTGGAGGCAGTCGCGACGACATTTTCCACATTTATTGGCACTCTCTCAAGTCCCTGTTCGTTAAGGTCGGCCACTAAGATTGAATGTCTATTCGATATTATAAGGAATGCACTGGAATGATTATTAGCTTTGCAGGAATGTTTATCAGTGTTGAGCTGGTAGCCTTCGACACAGCTGCAGAAGTACGAGCCTTTAGTGTTTGTGCAGGACTGAGAACAAATTCCAGGCGGATCGCATTCATCGATGTCCTTGCAGGTGAAACCGTCGGTGTCGAGTTCCTCTCCGATGGGACACAGGCAAAGTGGACCGTTAGGAGTTTGTTTACAACCGTTGGAGCAGAGACCAGATTGATGTTCACATTCAGCAAAATCGCAACTTGCACCTGAGATAAAGATATAAAGGTTATCATCGAAAAATCTAAATAAATGGAGGAGTTGCAATTTTTCTTTTTACCTTCATCAGCTCCATTGGGACAATCAAATTTATTATCGCACACTTGTGTGAGGTTGACGCAGCGACCAGTAACACCTGGACATTGCCACTGGCCAGACGGGCAACTGAAATGGTTCAAATACACATCATATTATAGGTCAACATATACTAGTTAACATATTGCTAATTTTAGATAACGTTAGTAATCAGAGAAAACTTTACTTTTTGTGATGTACTAGTCTTTGTGTTTATGTTTCTATTAATTGAAATGTGGTTAAGTACCAGATATTGAAAATAACAAGATAAATAATTGAAGCTTGTTTAAAATGTATAACTAGTTATCTATTGAAGTAAGATTTTAATTGTTTTAGTTGTAAGAAATCTAATATAATGCGTAAGGCTGTGAGTGACGCGAGTGCGGAGTGTGTGAATTTGTCGTGTATAAGTATCAGAGTAGCAAGTGTGAATGTGACGAATGCAAGTGCGAGTGCTAGTGTGTGTGGCGCATAGACTTAGAATATACTGGCGTAATATTCTAAGTCTATGGTGTGGCGAGTGCGAGAGTAGCGTATGTTGTGAGATTGCAAGCATCAAAACGTGCGAGTGTTAAGACCGATTTACACTTCGACAAGTACAGTAGCGAATTTAGTTATAGGGCAGTTGACAGTAAACGGTTAAGTGGGCAGTAGCGGTCAAACAATGCCTTCGTGGCGAGTTTAGTTAAGGACATTAGTTCATAGTGTTCGTTTGAATGTGACGTTTCAAGACTACAGAATTTTTCTTGTTTTCATTTAAGATGGATAGGATTACGTCAAGAAATTATATTACTGGTTTGTGTTAAAGAAGTTGAAAATGAAATAATTATAGAACGTGGCTGTCACGTGACGTGTAATTTTTTTGTCCTCTGGCTGTATGTCTTATACTTTATTATTGCTGTATGTCGTATGCTTTTGATCTTTGCCTGTGCCTCTTCGGAAACTTCGGAAATTTTCATGTGCAACATCTCGAGCAGATTTAATTATAAAATTTGAACTTCTACTATTATATAATAAACATTCATGTTCTAAATACTCCTGTACGAATTTATACGTGATATCCTCTGTCCATTTCATTATTAAAACTCATTATAAAACGTATAAATAATCAATAAACAGTACCGTACAAACTTTGTGGCGAGTTTAATTATGAAAGTACGTATTGGCGCGCAAACGTTGCGTCCTGTCAACTTATGCACTGAACTAAACTCGAACGTTCACACGAGCGGCGAGTTTAGTTGTGGATGGAGGGAGACGCGATAACTTAATTGTTAACTTGCTACTTAACTCGCTTATTGCCGTTCAAACGAGATTTTCTACTTAACTCGCCAGATTCGCAAGTTAACTCGCTACTGTACTTGTCGAAGTGTAAATCGGTCTTTAGTGCAAGTGTGAGTGCAAGTACTCCTGGTACTCACCGCAGAGGCGGCGGGCGGCAGGCGTGGCGCGCGCTCTCGTCGGAGCCGTCGCCGCAGTCGTCGTGTCCGTCGCACACGGCCGCCTTGTACACGCAGCGCCCGTTGTCACAGCGGAACTGCTGCGGCCCACACGCCGCCGCGCCGCACGACGCCGGCTCGTCCGACAGGTCCTCGCAGTCCGGCGTGCCTGCGGAACGGTGCACAGCGTACAGTGCATATATACGTGCTACAGACATCATCATTATTACAGCCCTTCACAGGCCCACTGCTGAACAAAGGTCTTTCCCAAGGAGTGCCACAAAGCACGCCTACGCGGAATGCAGATGCCGGAGCTGCGGCACTGCAGCTGCTTGTGGGGTGCACTCAGCGTCCCAGTACCAGGTGCGCGGCATGCAGATACCGGAGCTGCGGCATTGCAGCTGCTTGTGGGGTGCACTCACCGTCGCAGTACCAGGTGCGCGGAATGCAGATGCCGGAGCTGCGCCACTGCAGCTGCTTGTGGTGTGCACTCACCGTCGCAGTACCAGGTGCGCGGGATGCAGATGCCGGAGCTGCGGCACTGCAGCTGCTTGTGGGGTGCACTCACCGTCGCAGTACCAGGTGCGCGGGATGCAGATGCCGGAGCTACGGCACTGCAGCTGCTTGTGGGGTGCACTCACCGTCGCAGTACCAGGTGCGCGGGATGCAGATGCCGAAGCTGCGGCACTGCAGCTGCTTGTGGGGTGCACTCATCGTCGCAGTACCAGGTGCGCGGGATGCAGATGCCGGAGCTGTGGCACTGCAGCTGCTTGTGGGGTGCACTCACCGTCGCAGTATCAGGTGCGCGAGATGCAGATGCCGGAGCTGTGGCACTGCAGCTGCTTGTGGGGTGCACTCACCGTCGCAGTACCAGGTGCGCGGGATGCAGATGCCGGAGCTGTGGCACTGCAGCTGCTTGTGGGGTGCACTCACCGTCGCAGTATCAGGTGCGCGAGATGCAGATGCCGGAGCTGTGGCACTGCAGCTGCTTGTGGGGTGCACTCATCGTCGCAGTACCAGATGCGCGGGATGCAGATGCCGGAGCTGTGGCACTGCAGCTGCTTGTGGGGTGCACTCACCGTTGCAGTATCAGGTGCGCGAGATGCAGATGCCGGAGCTGTGGCACTGCAGCTGCTTGTGGGGTGCACTCACCGTCGCAGTATCAGGTGCGCGAGATGCAGATGCCGGAGCTGTGGCACTGCAGCTGCTTGTGGGGTGCACTCACCGTTGCAGTATCAGGTGCGCGAGATGCAGATGCCGGAGCTGTGGCACTGCAGCTGCTTGTGGGGTGCACTCACCGTCGCAGTACCAGGTGCGCGGGATGAAGATGCCGGAGCTGCGGCACTGCAGCTGCTTGTGGGGTGCACTCATCGTCGCAGTACCAGGTGCGCGGTATGCAGATGCCGGAGCTGTGGCAATGCAGCTGCTTGTGGGGTGCACTCACCGTCGCAGTATCAGGTGCGCGAGATGCAGATGCCGGAGCTGTGGCACTGCAGCTGCTTGTGGGGTGCACTCACCGTCGCAGTACCAGGTGCGCGAGATGCAGATGCCGGAGCTGCGGCACTGCAGCTGCTTGTGGGGTGCACTCACCGTCGCAGTACCAGGTGCGCGGGATGCAGATGCCGGAGCTGTGGCACTGCAGCTGCTTGTGGGGTGCACTCACCGTCGCAGTACCAGGTGCGCGGGATGCAGATGCCGGAGCTGCGGCACTGCAGCTGCTTGTGGGGTGCACTCACCGTCGCAGTACCAGGTGCGCGGGATGCAGATGCCGGAGCTGCGGCACTGCAGCTGCTTGTGGGGTGCACTCACCGTCGCAGTACCAGGTGCGCGAGATGCAGATGCCGGAGCTGCGGCACTGCAGCTGCTTGTGGGGTGCACTCACCGTCGCAGTATCAGGTGCGCGAGATGCAGATGCCGGAGCTGTGGCACTGCAGCTGCTTGTGGGGTGCACTCACCGTCGCAGTACCAGGTGCGCGGGATGCAGATGCCGGAGCTGCGGCACTGCAGCTGCTTGTCGGGTGCGCACTGGTGAGGCGCTAGTGCGGGGCAGCCCGCCTCGTCGCTGCCGTCGTTGCAGTCCGGGATGCCGTCGCACTTGTACGCCTCCTGCGATCATGACATTTTTTATATTAGGGGTTTATACGCGGATGTCCGCGGGGAGCACACATAGCTTACAGGTCAACGACTCGAATACTCGCCAAATTTAAGGACATGTTTGCAAAATGAATTTATTTATTTTTTAAATGAAATAATGTATTTTAAACAGTGGGTTACCTGCACGCACTGCTTGAGGTCGGCGCACTTGAACTGGCTGGGCAGGCAGGAGACGGGCGGGCAGTCGGCCTCGTCCTGCTTGTCGAAGCAGTCGTCGTCGCCGTCGCACACCCACGACGCGGGGATGCAGTGTCCCGTGCGCGGGCATGTGAACTGTAGCCACATAGTTTCTATTTAGTTTCACACATTTACTTCTGCCATGTGCATATACACCCATCGACACATTTAGAGGTACGAAAAAAAAAAGATTGATTTGTTCTGTTCTAATTATTATGCGCACTGGCCACAAACATTAATAATGCTATTTAAAAAAAATGTTCCTTTTTCGAATTTTATTTGTTTTTACGTAATCATTGAGTAATATTGTGTTCTTTCATACTGCGAAACGTTTTTGCTAACTTTTGATTTTGAGTTTAAACTTAGGTTTTGTTTAAATTTTACCTTTGCTGCTTTGTTTATTGTGTTAAATGTGAATTGTTACCGTAAATAGATTGAGAATGTTACATCTCAACGTATAAGGTTGGGAGGTTTAGGGAATAAATAACACGTCTAGTGATCTTGACTGTAGATTTTATACTGCCTTAATGGATCTATCGTACATACGCATGAGCATACAGTAACAACGTCTCTCAAGTTGCTGGAGTTGTTACTTTATAATGATTTCTTATATTTACGCGAACATTGCACATGATTAAAACTACTTTTACGGATTCTATCGCGTTTATTTTTACTTTTTATTTTTAATTCCCGACGTTTCGGGCGCTTTCCAGCACCCATGGTCACGGGGGACTGAGATGACTGACGTCCCGATGTCATTGTTAAACCCGGAGTACCTTCAGCTTTTTTAATTATTGTTTATGGTCCGATCTATGCAAAATGAACTGACTATGTCCTGAGGTCTTGCAGTGGTATGCTTGGGTTTAGTTTTAATTTTATTGATTATAGGATCCCAAGCAGGTGGTAGTACCCAGCCTCCCTCTCTATTGATATTAGGATGTTTTTTAATTTCAATAGCCTCACGTATCATCCTTGGTAGGAATCGGTGTTCTTTCGCGAGGATTTGTGGTCTATCAAATCTGATGTAATGGTTGGGGCCGTCTAGGATATGATCACAAACTGCAGACTTCCTGCAGACAGGGAAGCCTGCAGTTTGTGATCATTCGGGTTTCACGTCGGGAATTAAAAATAAAAATTAAAAATAAACGCGATAAAATCCGTAAAAGTAGTTTTAATCATGTTGTTACTTTAATTAAAATTGAGCACACCTACAAACATGTGGCCCAAACATTACGAGTTTCAAAATCTGTGTTACACAGAGTTACCAAGAGGTATCGGCAGACCGGACAGTATACGACACTCCCAGTACAAAGACGTAAATAGATAACATTGTCAAGAGATGACCGTTTAATTGTAACTAGAGTGCTTGGAAACCGGACCTTAACCTCTTCTGAGGTAAAAACGAAGTTCGAGGAGTCACAATAAGCACAAAAATTGTAAGAAAAAAACTGAAATCGGCCAGAATAAATTTACACTTGCCTGCCACATGCCATCGAGTAGTTCGAGTTAATTTTGCTCGCAATCATGTGAATTGGAATGACGAAGCTTGGAGTCAAGTTCTATTTACAGATGAGTCCATATTACGCCTGAAGCTAGATGATGGAAGGATTAAAGTTGGGTAGGCCCTGGAGAGAGGAACGCTCAATGCAACATCATTGGAAAAAAGGCATATGATTTGCCCCCTAAAAGGGGGCAAATGGCACTATAATTTCTTCTTCTCATTCATTACAACTTCTTCCTCTAAACTCATACATTTATTTTTATGCATAATAATGCAGGCTCCCATATTGCGACCGTAGTTGTCGAATACCTTCGAAACGTCGAAGTCAATGCTATAGAGTGGCCAGCGCGCTTTACCTTTACTTAAACCGCATAAAGCATGTACCACAACATCTATTTATCATCAGGTGGAGTATGTGCTCGTTCGTTACACACATTCTGTAAATAAATATACTTCTCAAAAAAGGTACCCCAAGGACCTTTATAGGACCATAATTATTTTTCATATATAAACGGAAAATAAGTGAGTTAATGAGAAAGAAAGAAAAGACAGCTTAAGGGAAGTTTTAGACTAATCTTGTGATTAAAACGGATACCAAAGTAAACATACAAAACTTAAATGACAAAACTGTAAATGTTTTACATGTAAATTAATACGACTTGAGTGAATCAAGCTTTGAATTTGTATATTGTTTAAGTTTTTTGTAGGAATGAGAAAAAGAGAACGATAGCAAGAATGATTTTAGGAGTGAGACAGAGGTGTGTAAGTGCGTGTGTAGCGAGTGCGAGTGATGTAGTGGTAGGCTCGCACCTGGAAGTAGGCACAGGTCTTCTCGGCGCAGTGCGCGCCCTCGTCGGAGCCGTCGCCGCAGTCGTTCTCGGAGTCGCACTTCCATGTGGCGGGCACGCAGCGCCCGTTGTCGCACTGGAACTGCGACGCGCCGCACGTCACGTTCACGCAGCCCGCCTCGTCTGAGAAGTCGCCGCAGTCGTTCTCCGAGTCGCACTTAAACGTGGCCGGGATGCACCGCCCCGACTTGCACATGAACTCGGACGCGCTGCATGTCGTCTCTATATACAAAATTACGAGAGCATTTTAAAGAATATCTGGTACACGTACAGCTAACTTAGGCCCGCTTTAACATCTAAGACGGTTGTAGTCAAGCACTAGTTAAAATTATCGTTGTTATGACGTTGAGTACACGAATACAACCTCTTGAAGTGACGTCATGAATTCAAATGAAGTCTTACTAAAATCTGGAACTTTCTAGAAGCTCACTGAGTTAAAAATACATTTGCATTTGCTAAAAATACATAACTAAAAAAAACATAAGTTATTAAACTTACTGGTACAATTTTGCTCCTCATCACTGTTATCCAAGCAGTCGTCGTCACCATCACACACCCAACTCTTAGGAATACAGCGCTGGTTGTTACACGTAAAGTCCCAGGAGTTGGGACACGCCTGCATCGGAGGCTCCGCATTCGGATCTGCGATACAGCTCGTGCCATCTGGGGCTAATTTCTCTCCGTATGGACATCCACATTTCACCGTTAACAATTCTGTATTATTTCTGGGTATTGCGAAACAAAGTTTTTGGCAGTTACCATTGTTATGGGCACAAGGTTGCATTGGATCAATTTTTTGCATCTCTTTGCTGTATACCTTGACGCCATACAACCGGTTCGTCTGCGGTTCTCTTACCATAATTTCTTCTTGCTCACCCGTCAATTTGTGCAAACGAACAATGGCATCGAGTCTCCAATCAGTGATGTATATGAAATCTTTGTGAATTACAATAGAGAATGGATGTCTTATTAATCTTGAATTAATAGTTTTCACATCAGTTCCGTCCAGTTTAGAATGTTGCACGTGATCTAGTAAAGCGTCACACCAATACAATCTGTCAGCATCGAAGTCTATTGATAAACCATTGGGCCATCCTAATGTAACATTTTCGAAAACAAGTAGACCGCTACCATCAGTATTAGCTCGACTGATGTTAGCTGGTCGGTCCCATTCGGAAAAGAATATAAAACCTTTGTTAGGATGAACGACGATAGCACGGGGTCGTTTCAGGTCTTTAAGAAGTGTTCTTTTGTAGCTGACATTTCTTGTAGACAAAACATTAAGAGTGCCTTTTCTAGAATCGATGTAGTACAAATTTTTTGAAGCCCAATCCACAGCCAAGCCTTCAACACCTTCATTCTGTGATGCTAAAACTATTTCTTTGGTTGTACCATTTCTATGAATTCTATAAATAACGTCTTGTAAAACATCAGAATAATAAATATGTTCGTCACGTGCATCAAAATCGAGACCAACAAATCTAGCCCGTCTTGACACGACCGGAAGTATGGCTTCACTGAATCCTTCTATAACCGGATCAAGAACTTTACCCTTGATAAATCTCTGTTGGGAGTACATTAGGAACTCTGTAACGATATCACAATTTCTCAAATCTGTCTCTAGTCTGTAGCCAATGTTACACGCACAACGGTATCCAAGTCCACCATTTTGTAGTGCTGTTACAATGCACATTTGTGAGCAATCTCCATTATTGGTCCCACATGGATTGTTTACTGACGTCTGTTTTAATGAATGCACTACAGTAATTGCTTTAGGATTAATAATATCTTTCATTTTATATATTGCTTGTATACTACTGGCTCCCTCATATTTACTTACAGAACTTATTCCTTGTTTAGTGTTGTCAGACCAGTAGACTCTGTCTTCGAAGAGAGCCAGTCTAGAAGGGCCAGGTACCTGTTGACCTCTTAGTACGAGGAATCTGTAGTTTCCGTCATAGTCAACCGTTTCGATATAGTCAAGCAAAGAGTCGCACCAAAATATTCTCCTTGCAATGATGTCCACAGCTATGCCTGATGCTTTATACGTTGCTTCTGACACTATTGACTTTGCGTGAGTACCGTCCATGTTTGCGCGAATAATCTAAAAAGGAAAACAAAATGAACTTTAAATATGCATTGCTAAAAAAGTATACACTATGCAGGAAATAATTTTTATAAAGACTTATAGTACTTTAAAACATAGTATGATTTCCAGGAAATAAACTATATTAGTCACTAAAATTAAATTAACGATAGGACAATGTAATTTATATTAGTGGTATCATCATTTCGTTTGTATATTATTTCATTGATTACAGCCTATCATTGTTTACTATAACAAGCCTATATCATCCCGTTGGTGTAGGAGGAGACACAGGGAAATTGGTAAAAGGAAATAGACGGCAGTATCTTCCTGATGAACGATCTAATATAACATAAAGAACTGTGGTCGTCAACCCTCCTGACAAGTGTGGCTTCTATGGAAGTGATCCCTACTATAAGGTAATCAAGTATAGAACTGCCTCTTAAGGTAAATATTTGCCATAGCTTCCGCGCTTGGGGTGGCAGCTGCAGTTTTTTTTGTTTTCTAGTTGTTAGTTTGACAATGCTGTCCATCTCCCGGTTTTTCTCTTTTTGTAACCTTTTACGACACATACAAGACGAAATGGAGCAGTATGGATATTCCTACTTGTTAGCCCAATGTAAAATACAAATTAACATTGCCTGCGCGGAGCAGTATCAAATACTGATCTTAACAGTTATAGTAAATGGGTATTCTATGTGTGTGACTCGTGTGAAGAGCAGTTCATTGACTGATAGTGATGAGAACGATGCACAGGTGTTACTGATCAATGTTTACCTACTACATCCTCTATCTCTCTCCCTATCTCTCTCTCTCTCTCTCTCTCTCTCTCTTTCTCTCTCTCTCTCTGTAGAAATCTGAAATTTGGACAGCAGCTACTTTTTAACGTAGGTGTATGTGTACCTGACTGCTGTCGGCCACGAACATGAGGCCGAGTGTGGGGTCGAGCGCAATGTCGGCGGGGCTGGTGAGGTTGGAGCCAAAGACCACGGCGTGCCAGCGCCCGTCCAGCTCCAGCACGTCCACCTTCTGCCCCACGGCGTCCACCACGTAGAGCTTGTCGCCCACCCAGTCCACGGCCAGCGCCACGGGTGCCCAGGCGCCGGCCGGCACGATGTCGCTGCCGTACGCCGGCAGGCTGCCTGGTAACGCACCCACTGCGTTCAGCGGTTGCGAGTGGATCTGCAACGTGTCATAAACACTATGTTCATCATTTTTTGTATTTTATTTTACAGGGTGAAAAACGAGCACAATCCACCTGACAGTAAGTAGCTGTTGTGGCCCATAGACATCTACATTTACATACGTGAAGATGAAATTAGTGTTAACCATGTAAAAATGGAATTGATGGCTTACAGCCGTAGCTTCTAAGTAACTTGGATGTTAAGTTATGTCATCTCAGAGTTGTTGTACCTACGTGTCTCTTACGATTTTTCACAAGGGAAGGACCACGCTAAGTTTTATATGGTAGGTAAATGTAGACAGCTGGATATCTTTTTCATTATAAACGAAGAATTTTATCTTTCTCTTCTACGATTACAACGCATCTGAATTTTGAATCTTAATTGAGGATATAAATGAATGGGCATAGAATCTAAGTAAATTTAACTATATCTGATAGTAAGTACTATCAGGTAGATTCTGTACTCATTTATCATCCTTATTCTGTAAAAAAAGTAAGGGAGTTGCTCACTACAGGTAAAGTGGTGGGTAGATTGACTGTTCAATTTGGAGGACTGCTTATTTGCTAACCTTATTATATAAAAATTGTACGGAAGTCGCTTAGCTATAGGTGAAGTATTACGAAGTGAATATTATGGCGGCTCCACATTATCGCCGCGAATTCATACCATGAATTCACGGCACAAGTCGTGCCCTCCACATTCATGGGATGCTCACAATCGTTTGTGAAAGCCGCCGCGAAACGGACGTAGAAGCTGCTGCTGCAATAACTTTGTTTGCTGTGGCAACATATCGCTATTTAGACGCCCAAAACAAAAAATTTATTAGAAAGCGTTGGAAAAAAGAAGATGGTGTATGACTGAAATACATCGTCCTTACACCTTTGTAGTCCGAAACGAACTGGCACGGGGCCGTGAATGTGGATGTGTACGCGTGAACGCCGCGCGAAAGGTGCGTGAACCACACATTTACGTTCACGCCTGTTTACGGAGCTTCACGGCGATAATGTAGAGCCATTCGGTGGGTTATTGGTGTAATATTGCGGAGAAGTGCATACCTTGCGGGTCTTGAGGTCGGACCAGAAGAGCAGGTTGCGGCGGTAGTGGTAGTCGAGGCCGGCGGCGGAGGAGGCGTTTGCGAGTGGCGTGGTGGGGCCGGGAGGGGCGGAGGGCGCGGCGGCCGGCGCGTCCAAGCGCAGCAGGCCGCGCGAGTGCGCCAGCGCCAGCCAGGCGCCCGCGCCGCGCGCCGTGCAGCGCCCGCCCGCCTCCAGCGAGTAGCCCGGCGCGCACGCACACGTGTATGCTACACATTATATACAATACAGTTAACATTTGATAGGTTGTCACGGTGCATGTGTGGGGTGGATGGTAGGGGCCGTGCGACGATATGTGTAGTATGAGGTGCTCTTCACAGAACGCGTTCGGCGCCGCAACACCAAATAGGTACTCGCGCTCTAGTGTACGAGTGCCGCCGTACCGACGTGTTCGACGAGCAGACACCAGCCCCACCCCGCAGTGACCATTGCGACTAATCTAATATATAAAAACTAACATTTGTTTGTTAGTACTCGTATTTTATGCATTGCCATACCGTTCATCAGATTACAAGCGTTACATTTACTAAATATTATGTTACTCATGTTACATTCATTCATTTGACGGCTGCGTGGCGCAGTGACTTAGCAATGAGTTGCAACACTAAGGACCACGGGTTCGAATACCGCATAGAACATGCTTATTCCCTACAAATAATTGTTCCGGATCTGTATGTTTACCCTAGTACAATCTATGTTTATAAGCTGCCTCCATAATACAGAGGAAAATAAATACTAGTGTTGGAAAACGTTATTTAAAACAAATGTCATAGTTGACACAATTGTCATAGTATTAAAAATCTAGGGAACATTTTATATCATTGACTTCCTCGTTGGTCTAATCAAGGGAAACATTTTTTAAAACAACAGAGATAACAAAACAAAACAGAAAGCATTTAAATTAAATGATATTATTATTAAAACAAAGAATAATTATTTAATATAAACACCAAGGTGACTCTCAGCTAAAGGCGTTGAGCATCACATTTTAAACAAAGAAAGAAAATATTTTGTCTAAAACCTTTAAAACTAGCTTTAAATAAAACTGGTTTTAACGGATTTTTTTTGCGCAATTATACACCCGACGTTTAGAGGTTATAGCCCATATCGTCAAACCATAATGGCATACCTACGTGTATCAAAATATCAACCAAAAATAACATATGAGGTAGCGCTAAGATCTAAAAACAGGCAAATAAAAAATTATTACGTCGAACAGAACACCTCAGTGATTCTCGTGATCATGGGTCATGGTTCAATATACTTACGTGATTACATCCGTATAAACTAATTTTGTTGTTTTAATGTGTACTGTTTTCGTAAACTTCAGGAATCATTAATATGTATTGTTTAAATTTCTTGCAGACCAGATAGAATAGAAGCATGAGAATTGTGACTCACAGCCGGGAGTGTTGACGCAGAGCTGGTGACAGGGCCCCCAGTCGCGGCACTCGTCGCGGTCTTGGCAGCTGCGGCTGTCGGCTGCCAGCTTTAGGCCGGCGGCGCACGTGCACACGCCGCCGCTGGGCGATGCAGCGCACTTGTACTCGCAGCCCAGCGCTGGACACGACGACATCGCTGCACACAAACAATTTTTTTTTGCAAATTGTATCTATTATAGTCCACAAAGTCCACCACTGAACGTAGGCCTATTGCCTCCTGTTGATGCTCATTACATTATGATAATGCTCCTGTAGATGCCCCGCTTAGTAAGCGGGTTCCTAACAGCAGTTTTTTATTATTTTGTGTTGTTATCCGGAAGAAACTGCTGCCAGTCTCCTGCCTTAGTTATTAGTAGTACGTTAGTAGTTTAGTCCCGGGATCTTTTGGGATGCTTAATATTCTTACACCGCCACTTCACGGTTTGCAAATTTGTATAATGGAGTTTGATCACATCAACTGATACGTGAAAGCAGGTTATTTGACTTTTACTCCCCGGCCAATTCAATTATAATACCTTTATGAAAAAAGGAGCCAAAATTAGCTCATTTTTTCACTGCTTTTTCTTCGGACTAGATTTGATCCTAATTGGCCCGAGTTTTTGTTAGATGTCACATTTCATCGCACTGTTTTTTTTTTCAACTAGAAATGATAAAATTAAATTTCAAGGTCGTTAGGGACTCCTCTAGGTTCTTATTTAAGACCGATATTATATCTTACAATTTATTAACACAAAAAAGGACATTATTTTTAAAACACTTAAGTTAAACTCTGTAAATTTTCACAATTTAAATAAATTAGACATTTGAAGGTCCAACAAAAGGTCCAAAAAAAAAATAAGCAATTCTGAAATAACAAAACAAGAAAAAAGGATGTGATAGTTATTTACTATTTCTATAATATAAATCCTCCTTAGTGTTTTGCTGGTTCTTCCTAGGACTTTTCGAATTATTTTATATTTAAAGAATCCCAGCTAGTTTTGTTGCTGATTCTGGGAAGGAAGAAAGAAGAATGCAGATACTTTTACACGATACTTTAGACAAATAAAATAAACACTGTCAATGCCTAATTTGTAACGAACCACCTGTAAACATTTATTGATTAAAAATAATATACTCTAAACTATTTTCATGACACAGGCGATGTCATGATGTCAGATGTCTTAAACGATTATGAGCAGTAACTAGAATAAAAGTTTAAAAAGTTTGAAAGCAAACTTACAGCAAGCGGATTCCTCGTCGGCATTATCGTCGCAGTCCCTTTTACCGTCGCAGAGCTGTGACTTGGCGATACACTTGTGCACGCCGTCAGGTCCGCCCTTAGGGCACAGGTACTTGTTGTCGGGGCAGGTGATGGCGGTACAGTTGGCTTCGTCCGAGCCATCACCGCAGTCGCGGTAGCCGTCGCACTGATACGTGACCGGGATGCACAGTGCGTTGCTGCAGCGGAACTGGCCGATGTGGCACGGAGGGAAGCCTGACGTGGCAAATAAAATAAATTACAATTTCCTGTGTATCTTTATTACCAAATTTACACATGCAGTACAAATTCGCAATGTAGTTTTTTATGAGACAAACGAACTAAAAGTTTATCCGCCGGTAAGCAACTGCTATAGCCCTTGGATACCTCCAACCACCTTCAAAGACATCTAGGTACAAGTTATGATCTCTGGAATAAATCAAACCTTTACAGAACACAACCTGGACAGACTTTTAAGCAGAAAAGACGTTAAGTTGAATCTTGACCGAAAATGTAAGGAAAATGAAAATATTATTATGTTAGGAGACTTTAATGGAAGGGTTGGGGTGAAGAGGTCTGGTTATGAAAGGATATTGGGAACGTTTGGTGATGAAAGTATAAATGAGAATGGTGAAGACCTCCTCACCGTATGTGCGGAAAAGAATCTTTTTGAAGAAGATTCACATGTATACATGGGAAAGAGGTGATGATAGAAGCATGATAGATTTCGTAATTGTGGATGAAAGAATGAGGAGCGCAGTTGTAGATACAAGGGTTTACCGGGGGTCCAACGTAGGGACGGATCATTACTTGGTCTTATGTCGAATTAATGGTCTTTTCAAGCGTTGGCGGCATCGGACATCTGTATCTACCACTGCGTTACAGTGTATAAGAATAGAGAAGTTACAAGATGAAGATGTGATAGAGAAGTATAAATGTAGACTGAGAGAAAATATTAGATGTTTGAATGAGTTGTGTATGAATGATTTAGACTTGAATACTGTGTGGGATAATATTAAGAAAGGTTTGGTGGATACCGCCACCGAAGTATGCGGTGTAGGTAAGAGAACAAATGAAAGGAAAAGTAATACGTTACGATGAGGTACGGGTAGAAGTTGAATCAAAGAAGAAAGCATGGTTAGATTTACTAGCAACCAAAGCTGATAATTCTTCTGGTATGAATGATGAGATTGAAAGAAAAAAGGCAGAATTTAGACGTCTAAATAAGAGAGTAAAAGAAGTTGTTGAAAGGAAAAAGAAAGAAAGAACGGATAAGAATGATAGAAGGATATCTGATAATTTCCAGGCTAACGTAAAAATGTTCTGGAAACTCGTAAGAACTGCCAGGGGAAATACAAAACAGCCTATAATAAATGCTATAAGAGACGAGAATGGATGTATTCTGAAAGATGAAGTTTCGAATTTAAACAGATGGAAGGAATACTTTGAAAGCGTGTTTATGAGTGAAGAGTCGTATGAATTAAATGAACTAGAAATTCCGAAAGAAGTGGAAAGGGGTATGGAGATAAGTGTAGATGAAATAATGAAAGCAATGAAAAGCATGAAAGCAGGTAAGGCAGCTGGATATGATAGAGTATCACTCGAGATGCTAAGGGCTGGAGAGGGAGTGGTGGCAGGCCTGCTGTATACCTTGTTTAATTTATGTTGGGAATTAAAACGGGTACCGGATGACAGGTGTAAAGCAGTTATAGTACCAATATATAAAGGAAAAGGGTCACAGCAGGACTGCAAAAACTACCGCGGTATCAGCTTGCTTAGTATTGTGGGTAAACTGTATGCTAACGTGTTAATTGAAAGAGTTATGAAAGAAACTGATGAAAAAATTTGGGATGTGCAAGCGGGTTTTAGAAAGGGAATGGGGTGTACAGATCAAGTCTTTTCCATGCGCATGATTGCGGAGAAGTTTTTGGCCAAAAACCAGAAAGTTTTTTGTGCGTTCATGGACTTGGAAAAGGCTTATGACAGAGTGGACAGGAATGTGTTATGGCAAACACTGAACTCATATGGGTTGAGCGCTGGTTTGATACAGGCATTAAGGTCTCTTTATAGGGACTCTAGTGCTTGTGTCAGGATCAATGGGGTCTACTCGGACTGGTTTGGCATCCAAAAAGGTGTCAGACAGGGCTGTGTGGCTTCCCCTTGGCTGTTCAACCTATTTATGGACCGGTGTTTGCAAACTTTGAAAGATGAAGAATGTGGGTTAAGAATGGGCGAGTTAACCGTCAAATGCCTTTTGTATGCCGATGATCAAGTCATACTTGCGTCATCGGCGGCAGAGTTGCAAATGATGGTTACATTAATGAACTGGGAATTAAAAGAAAGGGGAATGAAAGTGAACGCAAGTAAGACGAAAGTGATGGTTTTTGAAAGAGAAGAAAGCAAAACGGTATGTGAAATATGAATAGAAGGAGAGTTGATTGAGCAAGTGGATGAGTTTGTGTATTTGGGATGTGTATTTAGCAGGGATGGTAGATATGATAGGGATATAGAACGACGAGTAAATGCAGGAAATAGAGTGAATGGGGCACTACACTCTATTATGAAGAACCAGAATTTGTCAAAACAGGCACGTATGGTAATTCATAATGCTGTGTTAGTCCCTACTTTAATGTATGGTAGTGAAAGCTGGGTGTGGCAGAAGAAGCACGAAAGTAGAATAAATGCTGTAGAAATGCGGTCTTTAAGGAATATGCTAGGGTGTAATCTGAATGACAGGGTGAGAAATTGCGTGATAAGAGATAAATGTGGTATGCAAGATGATGTTGTGACCAGGATTAAGAAAGGAATGCTTCGGTGGTTTGGTCACGTAGAAAGAATGAATGAGGAAAGAGTGACAAAGCAAATTTATATGGCAGATGTGAATGGCCGAGTCGGGAAGGGACGCCCTAGGAAAAAGTTTATCGACCAAATTGGCGACATTTTGAAAATGGGCCACGTTAGAAGTACCCTTAACCGACGAGCGTGTATGCGTAGATATATGGATGTAAAGGAGGCGAAAGAGGTATGTCAGGATCGTGCCAAATGGAAGTCCGTAGTCTCTGCCTACCCCTCTGGGTGACAGGCGTGAGTGTTTATGTTATTGACCGAAAATAAAAACCAACCCGTCAAGTTGCTATGGCGTAGGTACGAGTATATCCCGTTTATAACACAATTTATAAGGGTGTTTAGCTGTAGAATTTAATAATTTTTGATGCTTATTAGGGAGATGCTGTTGCAGTTTCCGGCTCGTTTCCTTCTGTTGCTTGTCACGACACCCACTCAACGGGTTATTGGATTTTCTAACCACGTCTCTACATGTTTAAGCTTGAAACAAGTAAAAGAATGACAAGAAATATTTTATTATGTTATTCAGTATGCGTTAATTTTAGTTATATTACGCATTTATGAACATCATGTTCATTCACCTCCCAATTTAAGCTTCAATAAAAAAATAACTAAAAAAACTCGCGATACCACCCATACCATTGATGATTGGAGGTCAACCACTGTGAGATTTACTGAAAGTTGTCTTCCTTGCACAAATTTCTTGTGCATTCGAGTACCACAAGTGATTTTTCCGGATCGATATGACTTAGGGACCTTCAAGAAAAGTGCCTACTTTTTAAAAGGTCGGCAACGCATCTGCAATTCCCATAGTGTTGCTGTAGTGTATGGGTGGCGTTAGACACTTACCATCAAGTGAGCCGCGTGCTCGTATGCCCCCTTCTATATAAAAAAATAGTAGAAAGAGTCTACGAACTGCAATGTGCTTCATCTGAGTTATCGCCGCAATCATCCGTGTGATCGCACTTGACGGACGCATCCACACACTTCTCCCCATTCGCGCAGCGAAACTGGTCTAGTCGGCAGGACAGCGTCTGCCCAGGGCAATCTTGTTCATCCTTACCGGACCGACAGTCTAGGTACCTGGAGATATATAACAGTTTTGTCAACAAAATTTGTAATGAATAATTTGAAAATAATTAAATGGTATCATTTATTACAAATTTCAATTTCAATCGTTTATATACAGAGGTCGTCTGTGCGTCTTTATTAAAGATTGTGGTTTTTATAATGATTTCTTAAATTTACGCGTACACTGCACATTGAATAAAACTATTATTTACGGATTTTGTCGCGTTTAATTTCTACTTTAATTTATTTTTATTATCCTGACATTAGGGTGCTTTACAGCACCCATGATCACGGGGGAGGGACTGAGATGTTTGACGTCCCAATGTCATAGTTAGTCCGGCTACCTTCAGTTTTTGAATATTTATTATTGGTCCGATTTACGCAAAACGATAATCGTAAATAATAGTTTTATTCAATTGTGGTTTTTACTAATAAATTATATGAGGGTTTTTTTCTATTAAAAAATTCAAAGAACTGATTTATTAGGTTTTTAAAATATTAAAGTGACAAAGGAACTACCAGTTACTCGTAACCTGGTAGTGAACGGCGGAACTTTATACAATGAACCAAAGATGTTTTATAGGACCTATAAAATATCTTTGACAATGAACGTTACAGAATACAGATGTGTTGTCACTTAAGACGTTTTAAGACGGACAGACAGTATAAATTACACAGCCTGTAATTTATACTGGCTCTCTATACCCGGAATGCAGCTATGCACGTACTGCTGCTGAGTGACACAAACAGGCTCGGACGGAGTCCTAGACAAGAAAAAGTGTCCTACCACTTAGTGTTAGTGTAAGTCTACAGTAAAAACACAAGAATATATAAAACCGGCCAAGAGGGTGTCGGGCCACGCTCAGTGTAGGGTTCCGTAGTTTCCCGTCCGTCACAATAAGTGTTCCCACTTATGAGTTTAAAGGTGAGTATCCATTATGTTCGCGCTCCAGCAGCGCTCCGCGCTCCTGCAACTGCTCCCGGTAGTGGGTACGTGCGCGAACATGGAGCGTGCAACATTGCACACTCCGCGGCAGGCGCTCCGACTTTCCATCCAAGTTCAAAATGATTTTCTTAGAAAGTCCTTATAAAGTTCTACTTTTCAGATTTTTTTCATATTTTCTAAACTTATGATTCAAAAGTTAGAGGGGGGGGGACACATTGTTTTTTACTTTTGGAGCGATTATTTCCGAAATTATTGACACTATCAAAAAATGATCTTGGTAAACCCCTATTCATTTTTAAATACCTTTCCAACAATATATCACACGTTAGGGTTGAAATTAAATAAAAATCTCTTCCCACTTTACATATAGGGGGGCTACCCTAATAAAACATTTTTTTCCAATTTTTATTCTACCACTTTGTCGGCGTGATTGATACACATATTGGTACCAAATTTCAGCTTTCTAGTGCTAACGGTCACAGAGATTAAGCGAGGACGGACAGACGGACAGACAGACATGGCGAAACTATAAGGGTTCCTAGTTGACTACGGAACCCTAAAAACAGAGTTTCTTTACTCATGTGGTAAAAGGTTCTCCATCGCATAATCCACCAGCATTACAGATTCTTAATATCTGCGTTAACCTGACGGTAGTATGATTGGATTCAGGTATTTATTAATCTAGATTATGTTTTAATCTCGTCTTTTCCGGACAACTTTTAGTCTCAAACGTATTCCTACGTTTTCTCCATGGTATCTACGCCACACCCGTGAGATTTTTATCTTACGATAAAATCTAATATGCCACTGCTGTATTCCTGTGTTGTTTTTTTTTGTTCAAAAATATTTGTTATTTTAAAAACAAGTAACTTCTAAGATTACTACAACTGCTGAGATATACCACCGTTATATCTAGCAATTAAAATTAACGAACATAGAATGTCAAAGAAAAAGTTCATAATAAAAAAGAGTCATAATTATTCTTAGATTGATTTTGAAAAAACATTAAAATAGATCGAGCTTTAGAGGCGGAAATAATGCTGTAATTTCACAAATTTTTCGTAGGGAAATTTCATCATACTCATCAGAGCTGCAGCTGTCTCTTTCAGTAGTTTAGCTTGGTCGTTGAGAAATAGCAAAAGAACATAAGATCGTAAAAAACGCATTTTTTAAATCTCTTAAAGTCCAGATAATCTTTTTACGAATTGAATCATAATTTGATTTTGACTCACGGGATTAGAAAAGTAAACGCGGGAGATTTTAATTTTTTTATTCAACGGAGCAACGGAGCTACGGAAAAATCTTTGAAGTATTAACATATGCATGATCGTATATGTATTTTTATTATCTTTATTTTATATTGCGTATATTATTATTATAATTATTATTTAAAATGCACGCTAAATCTGCTTCTTTTTGAATCTGTCCTGTACCGCCCTGCTGAAAGCAATTTTAATAAGAAATAAGCAGTGCCTTTATACAAAATATCTTTTTTTTTACATTGTTATCTTACTTTGAGATTAGAAAGATAAATAGTTCATCATCATCATCATTACAGCCCTTCACAAGTCCACTGCTGAACATAGGCCTCCCCCAAGTAATGCCACAAAGCACGGTCCTGAGCCACCTGCATCCATCGACTTCCTACATGTCTTACCAGGTCGTCACTCCATCTAGTGGGGGGTCGCCCTACACTACGCCTACCTTTCTTCCCCATCGGTTATCGGTTCTTCGAGCTATATGGCCGGCCCATTGCCACTTCAGCTTACTAATCCGTTGGGCTATGTCGGTCACTCTGGTTTCACTGCGAATATCCTCATTTCTGAGTCTATCACGCAGTGAAACTCCGAGCATAGCCCTCTCCATAGCTCGCTGAGCGACCTTGAGCGTCCTCATACGGCCAGCGGTGAAGGACCACGTCTCAGATCCGTAAGTCATCACTGGCAACACGCACTGGTTGTACACTTTAGTTTTCAGAGATTGAGGTATACCTGATGAGAAGATGTGTCGTAATTTCCCGAACGCTGCCCAGCCGAGTTGAATCCGTCGATTGACCTCTCGGTCGAAGTTGGACTTACCTAGTCGGACTATTTGTCCTAGGTAAACGTACTCGTCAACAACTTCGAGCATAGTGCTCCCAACAATTACCGGCATAGGTGTGACATGGACATTAAACATGATCTTTGTTTTGTCCATGTTCATCTTAAGACCTATCCGTTGGGAGACACCATTGAGGTCATTGAGCACAGTGCTAAGGTCCTCCAGCGATTCTGCCATAAGGACTATATCGTCGGCAAATCGAAGGTGAGTGATGTACTCGCCATTGATGTTAATACCGTATCCTTTCCAGTCCAGTAGCTTGAAAACGTCTTCCAACGCAGCGGTGAAGAGTTTCGGGGATATAACATCACCCTGTCTTACACCTCTCTGCAGTTGGATAGGTTTCGTACTCTGGTTCTGTACTCGGATAGCCATCGTAGCCATACTGTACAAACACTTCAGCACTTCAATATACCGACAGTCAACTAGGCACCGCTGAACGGACTGTAGCACCGCCCAAATTTCGACGGAATCAAAGGCTTTCTCATAGTCCACATACGCCAGGCAAAGTGGCAGATTGTACTCTTCGGACTTCTGTACAATTTGCCGAAGGGTATGAATGTGGTCTATGGTACTGAAGCCTTTTCGGAAACTGGCTTGTTCGGGAGGCTGGAAGTCGTCGAGACTGCGTGCGAGACGATTCGTAATGACTCTCGAAAACAGCACGTAGACGCGGCTCAGAAGGGAAATCGGTCTGTAGTTCTTCAAGAGAGCGTTGTCGCCTTTCTTAAAGAACAAGACCACCGCGCTTCTGCTCCACGCCTCCGGAGTAATGCCACCATGGAGGACGGAATTGAAGAGCTTCTGAAGGACTTCAAGTACCGGTGTTCCACCCGCTTTCAGAAGCTCCGCTGTAATTCCATCCTCGCCCGGGGCCTTGCCGTTTTTAAGGTGGTGGAGAGCCATTCTAATCTCGCTCAGACTGACGTCCGGGATATCATCGGAATAGTGTCGGATAAGACTTGCTCTTGCATCGTTACTCACACTTGCGTGTGGCTCCAACGATGATGTGTACAGCTGCCCATAGAACCTCTCAATCTCACTCAGAATCTCAGGTGTCCCGGAAACGATGTTGCCACACTCAGTCTTCAGCCTTGACAGTTGGCTCCTTCTAGCAGACAGATCTCTGGCAAAGACTTTGGAGCCCTGGTTCCGCTCGATCGCTTCTTTAATACGAGCAGTATTAAAGTTGCGTAAGTCTCGCCGCATGCATTTGGAGATCTGTCTGTTCAGCTGCCTGTATGCTGTCAAATCTGTTGACGATTGCAGCCTCATCTCCCTTCTAACAGCCATGAGATTAAGAGTGTGATCGGAGAGTTTTTGTGTTCTTCTGCGGCGGGTCTTGCAGAACTTAGCTCCTACCGCATGGACAGTTTCCACGAGCTTGTCATTCATATCGTCCACTGCATTGCAATCCTCTAGGCACTGAAAGCGGTTTTGTAACTCGAGCTGAAAGGTTTCGGGATTCTGGATTAGAGCACGAGGGGGACGGAGCGTTGACTTCATTAGACGAGACCTCTCCAACTTCACTTTTAGGTTCAGTGTGCCTCTAACCATTCGGTGATCGCTGCCAGTTTTCACCCGTTTGCGATCACTGAGACATCACTGAACAGTTGGCGTCTGGTCGTCATAATGAAGTCAGTCTCATTTTTTGTCGAACCGTCGGGGCTCGACCAGGTCCACTTCCTATGGGGCCGCTTCTGGAAGAAAGAGTTCATCATAAAGAGTCCCTCTTTCTCCATAAAGTCGGCCAGCTGCTGGCCCCTTCGGTTCCGTTGCCCTACTCCAAATTTCCCCACCTTCAGCTCACCGCTTTCTCTTGTGCCCAGTTTTGCGTTGAAGTCTCCCATCAACACCGTGTAGTGGTAGTGGGTTTTGGAGAAATGCATGGCTCTGGAAATATCCTCATACATTTCCTCCACCTCCTCATCGGGATGTGCCGAGGTTGGTGCGTAAACCTGTATGACCTTCAGCGAATACCGTTTGGTGATTCTGAGTATCAGGTACGCGACCCTCGTCGACACACTCCCAATCTTTACAACGTTGTTGACGAGAGACTTGTGAACGATAAATCCGACACCTCCTTGGGACAGATGGTCGCCCTCCCGGTGGTAGAACAAGTTGCCGGACTCGAGGATTGCCGTATCCTCCCCCTCTCTTCGGACCTCGGATAATCCAATAATATGCCAGCGCAACTTGTCTACCTCTTCTTCCAGCTCCAGTATCTTCTCGTCAGTCCTCAGGGTGCGTGCGTTATATGTTGCCAGGTCGAGTCATCGTAGGTGGCAACCGAACCTCCACCGGAGACTCTTAGCACCCCCTGCCCCGCCATTACCATGGTGGCCACCGTATCCGGCCGGACGGGCCGCCGGGGACTGGGGGCCGTTTTTTTTTGCGTCATTATTCATGGGGGGATAGTTGCCATAGTTGCCACGCTTGGCGAGCGGGTTGGCAACCGCAGTTTTTTATTATAACACAGTTGTTATCAGGAAGATGCTGCTGCCAATCTCCTGCCTGTGTCCCTCTGTCGCCTCTTACGACACCCACGGGAAGATATGGGGTAGTGGATATTCTCAACCGCCACTACACGGCAATACGGATAAATAGTTATTTAAATAAAAATAAATAATATGGAAGATTATAAAAAAACTCGTTAAATAAAAAAGAAACAATGTCGTAAAAACGCACAAAGGTAACTGCTTACGTAAGCCTACGTATTATCACATAAAAGCTCATACAATAGCGTAAATATAAAAGACATCCGAATGGTGCTTATAATGTTAGAAGTACTCAAGCCGTGTACATTACCCGTCACATTTCTTCTCCTTTGGTATACAGAGCCCCTGCGAGGACGCCTTGCCGGATCCCCCGGTCTCCACACCACACTGAAAGTCGTCCGTCTGACATTTACGGTACGCTAGAACAAAAGGAAAAATATATAAAATATTGTTTTTAGTGATAGAGCCATTCTGTCGCTATATTGTGGTTGAACATATAGTACATACATGTGGCACGAATGAATCGGCTTAGGGGCAGGACAACGCTCTTACAGAATATCCGCGTAAAATAACAGCTCAATGCTGCTGTGTTTGGTATGGTGAGTGTAGAGAACCTGAGATCCTTTTTAGGGAAACGAGGCATTCCATCTTAGTCCTCAAAGGTGACAACGCATCTGCAGTTTTATTTTTAATGGGAGATAGAAGTAGATATCTGTGGGCCACAATATTTACTTAGCATAAGGTAGATTAGGTATATGCTCGTTTATCACCCTTATTCTAGAAAAAAAATTCCGTTCAAAAAATAACAAATGAATGATTTTTTTTTTCAGTTGAGTCGATTCGAATATTCATTGCATTTTCATTGAAAGCACGCTAAACAAATTCTCGTTCAAATGCCATTAACATACGCTGGAGCGATTTCTACATAATGCATTACACGCTCCAGTCCCGTCTATATTAAGATGTCTTCCACACGTCTCGGTTTTTACGGCGAACTGCGGAAAAGGCCGTGGCCCGGCTCTGTTAATGCAATCTCCATACAGAGTTATGTAAAAACCCTGACGGAGTGCGCCTTTGAGCGGCGAGTGGCTTAGAAAACGTTTCCGACGACGCCGCTTTGTGCAATTTCAAAATACAGTTTTAAGGGTTCTGTGGAGTGTGGACGGTATTACGGAAATAAAATCCGTTAAAGGAAAAAGTCTGAATTGCAGATTAATATATGTTTGCAAAGTGAAATTAAATTGAAGTTATTTTAACAGTCTTAGAGTGAAAAACGTGTGGTGCGACATAAGATTGTCTATCATCCGATTTAGTCCCATGGTTGACTAAAGAAAATGCTAGACAAAAATCTTTATCTTTTATCTTTCAAGTAGCTGGTCCTCTGGAACTTGGCGGCAAATATGCATATATTATATTATAGCACTAAACCAGGCAGACTTAAAGATACCTACTATTCTGCTTTAAAAATATGTATGATAATAACTGTAAATGGACGATTTATTATTGGGCGGGAAAACGAAAGTAAGTTTGACAAACGAGCAAACACTCCACCTCCTCCTCCGTTATAGGACGACTCCGTGACGCAGTGGCTTAGCAATGAGTGGCTGCGCTGGGGGTCGCGGGTTAGAATCCCGCACGGAACAAGTATTTGTATGGCCTACAAATAGTTGTTCCGGGTCTGGATGTTTGTCCTTGTGCAATTTATGTTTGTAAACTGCCCCCACGATACAGGAGAAAATCCTAGTGTAGGGGTAACGTTTTTAAAAAAGATTGAAAATAAAAATGATAGTAAGTAATGCGGTGGATCATAGAAGTTTACATTTTTACCCTCGAATAAGAATAAAAATGCAGATAAGTTGTCACCCTTGAAGACTAGAATGAAATAACTCGGTACCAATAAAAGGCTCCTCGGTTCTGGTCACTTGTATAATTTACGAAACACAGCAGCATTAAGCTGCTATTTTACGCTGGTATTCTGTGAAAGCGTGGTCCATACCCGGTTGCCCCGACCTATTCGTTTTGTAAATTTAATATGGCTTCAGCGGGGCTCAACCAAACTATTTTTTATATAATATTATGTATTATTTGTGTTAAAGATTCGTGTGAATTACACTAAATAGTTCCAGTAGCGTTACGCGGAAGTGCAGTTGCGGGTTCCACTGTGTTTACACACGGAATTTGTAACGAAGTCTGCCCAAACTCTGTGCAAACAAACTCAGTTTTAATTCATAGCGACTAGTCTGTAAATATGTGTACTAGCATGTAACAGTTAACGAGAAACGATTTGTTTGGTAAAAAAATTTAAAATTAATATTGTTTTTTAGCTTATTATAAAAAATGTGAATAATAATAATTAATAATAATTAACACCACAAGAGTGGCGAATCCCAATTGTTATCAACACATTTTTTTAAATAAGTATAATATTTCTATTATAGAAATTTATCCTATATTTATCCCTTCTCATTATTACAAATGAATTACACATAGGAAACATTCAGAGCCAGACCAATTATTTGTAAGGCATACAAATACTAACTCCATTTGATTTCGAACCCGAGGATCTACAGCGTTGTAGTCAAAGGCTTAACTATGTCACTATTCAGTAGAATTTTTGAAAAAGCTTCTTTATAATCTAGTAGCAAGACAGCTACGTCTAATCCCTATTAGGTAATATATGGAGGTCTATTTTAAGCAGTTAAGAGGTAGGACAGCCGGGGCAGGCAGGGGAGCCAGAACAGGTAGGGCAGACAATCCAGGCAGGACTGGTAGGACAGGCATCACAGGCAGGACAGGTAGGGCAGGCAATCCAGGTAGGACAAACAATCTAAGCAGGACAAACAATCCAGACAGGACAGGCAATCTAAGCAGGACAGGCAATCCAGGTAGGACAGGCAATTTAAGCAAGACAGGCAATCCAGGCAGGACAGGCAATTTAAACAGGACAAGCAATCAAGCAGGACAGGCAATCCAGGCAGGACAGGCAATTTAAGCAGGACAGGCAATCTAGGCAGGACAGGCAATCTAAGCCGGACAGGCAATCCAGGCAGGACAGGCAATTTAAGCAGGACAGGCAATCCAGGTAGGACAGGCAATCTAAGCAGGACAGGCAATCCAGACAGGACAGGCAATCCAGACAGGACAGGCAATCTAAGCAGGACAGGCAATCCAGGCAGGACAGGCAATCTAAGCAGGACAGGCAATCCAGGCAGGACAGGCAATTTAAGCATGACAGGCAGGGAAGGCAGGGCAGGCAGGACAGTCAGTCGTGCAGATGCCTTCACGAATTGAAGAGTTGACCACATTTATATGACTCCTGAGGTCATACCCTCCTGACGTAACCCCTCTACTCAGTGGTAACCCCTTTCTAACATAAAACATATCATTGAAATCACTCCCGACATTGCCCTTTATGTGTTTATGAAATTTTTTCACAATAAGTTCAGGAATTCCGAAGAACAACCCAAACAGATAGAGAGGTAAACGTTTAAAAATGTTAATAATTCATTTCTTAATGGCATGCCAATAGACCCCTGACCTTAATAATAGAGGGCAGTTATTTCGTTAACACAGGCATACACTCAAATTTTATTCATCTAATATCAAAGTATTAGAATATACTGGCGTATCTAATATAGTAGGTAATATTAATCTGCATACAGGGTTATTTTACAATAACCACCCAAATTTACAGAGATGGTTCAGAATAAGTAATAGAGGTGAAGAAAAATTAATCAAAAATTCTATCCTGTTTATCTTTTCAATTCAAAATTAATATGATACTCGTAACTGATTTTACTGCGCATGCACATATTCGTAAGGGTCGGTAGGCAAAAACGCTGTTGCTCATAAATCACATTCCATTCGGGATAATTTCAAATAAAAATAGAAACCTTATTTACACGTATTTTCTTATCTGCAATAACGATATCGTGCTATAAAAAATTGAAGTATGTATATGCAACGCCGCAATAACGCTGAGGAGATCATTTGCATGTCATTAAGATATAAATAACTATTTAAAAAAAATTGTCTGTCTATTTGCATGTTTGGACTAATCTCCGGAATGGCTGAACCGATTGTAATGAAGCTTCACAAACAGATAGAGAGCAATACCAGGACTGATCCAGGATTTTTATCCAAAAACTTGTTTTTTTTTGAAAAAAAAGTGGAGACACCACATTAATATATGTAGGATAATATATTAATGTGACGTTTTTTTCCAGGTAAAATCGGGGTAGCTAATAATGTATACATTATTGCGTAAATTTATCATAAAATTGTAAATAATTTTCAATAAATGTGATAAAACTCGTCAAAATAGTCTCATTGAATTCATTGAACAAATTATTCATACAATTAGAAATTTCTTCAATTGTACTCTTCAATATTATTTTCAGCATATTTGTCGAGTTTTTCAAAATTACAAAAGTTTCCATTATGAAATTCATCCAGCGATTTGTAATTAGTTATAAGGGTTCAGTGGCCCGTACACAGAGGGGAGCAGAATTGAGTTTTAATATGCTCCGAAGAATTGTGTTATGTCTCAAGTTTTAATTTACACGCTTTTATCTATACGTATATATGTATAAATGTATGTTTTTAATTCAGTTTTCAGCTTTTTTATATTTTTACAGGGGAAGGGGGCAACGAGCGTGCGACCCGCCGCCCGAGAACAATTGAAACACCAGGGGAATTGCAGGTGCTTTTTTTTTGCATTTTAAAAAGAAGTTAGCATGTTTCTTGATGGTCCCTAAGTCGCGTCAAGTCCGGAACAAACGCCGATGATAAACGATTCCACAAAGTAATCGAGCGGGAAAGAAACCCCAAGTAGTGGACCGCCAAGCCCCCAGATGATGTTGATGGTACCGTGAGTTTGTGGGAACTCAATTTGTGGTCACCTACTTTAGACGATGACCTGATGGTAAGTGGATGCTGTAACCCATAGACATCTTCTAGGTCGCAGTGATACTGGTCTCTTTATCTAGACCTGCATAGCTGCTCGCACATAATAAAAAAAAACCATAGACATAAACATTTATCCTCGATTAAGAATCAAAATGCAGATGCGTTGTCACCCCTGAGGATTGAGATGGAATGCCTTTCCAGTAAAAAAGGGTATCCGAATCTCTACACCCACCATACGAAACACAGCGGTATTGAGCTGCTTTTTCATTTGTGCTACAACCATAATACGGCTGCAACGTGGATCTACCACTTATAAAAAACCTGCGAAGGATGAAATCAATGAAAATCGTTGGAACAAAAAGGGGAGATCCTCCGCCGAGTGTTCAGCCCGGGGAGCGATCAACGCTCGATGCCGTAATACTTCGGAAACTGGCTAGTGAAGAAGAAGAAAAAGTATAGAAAGATTCACTTGTACCCTTAGCTCAACTATGTATACGCTTAGTTCGGTATA